CCTGCCTGACAACCCATGCCGAAAGTAAAGGGAATTTAATTTGCTAGCACTATATTTAACCCTATAACTTTCCAAGACACCATAAAACCTGTACATGGGGGGTACTGTTCTACTCGGGAGACTTCGCTGAACACAAATATTAGTGTTTCAAAACAGTAAAATGTATTACAACGATGATATCGCCAGTAAAAGTGAAGTTTTTTGCATTTTTCACGCACAAACAGCACTTACACGGACGATATTATTGCTGCGATACTTTTTACTGTTTTGAAACACAAATATTTGTGTTCAGCGAAGTCTCCCGAGTACAACAGTACCCCTCATGTACAGGTTTTATGGTGTTTTCAAAAGTTACAGCGTCAAATATAAGGCTTGTGTTTCATTTTTTTCACATTAAAATTTGCCAGATTGGTTACGTTGCCTTTGAGACCCTATGGTAGCCCAAGAATGAAAATTACCCCTATGATGGCATACCATTTGCAATAGTAGACAACCCAAGGTATTGCAAACGGGGTATGTCCAGTCTTTTTTAGTAGCCACTTAGTCACAAACACTGGCCAAAATTGGCGTTTTTTGCATTTTTCACACACAAACAAATACTAACGCTAACTTTGGCCAGTGTTTGTGACCAAATGGCTACTAAAAAAGACTGGACATACCCCATTTGCAATACATTGGGTTGTCTACTATTGCAAATGGTATGCCATTATGGGTGTAAATTTCATTCCTGGGTTACTATAAAGTCCCAAAGGCAACGTAACCAATCTGGCAAATTTCAATTTCAAATATAATGTGCTATATTTGACCATATATCTTTCCAAAACGTCATAAAACCTGTACATAGGGGGTACCGTTTTACACGTGAGACTTTGCTGAATATAAATATGTGTATTTTATTGCAGTAAAAGCAAACAGTATTATGACATTGACAGTTAAAATGTCATGTAGAACTAAAAAAAAATAAAAAAATCTTATTTTCTCCCATTGTTTTCATATTAAATTATGTTTCATAGCTAAATATTTGATATTAAATGAAAGCCCTGTTTCCCCTGAATAAAATGATATATAATAAGGGTGGGTGCATTTACTATGAAAGAGGTGTATTACGGTTGGACAGACATGTAGCGCAAATGCCAGGTTTTGTTTACATTTTGTTTCGTTCACAACGTGTACATTTGGCTCAGTCCTTAAAGGGTTAAAAACATGTAACCTCAATAAAACACATGAGACACCCCGTATCCAACCTCCCTTGTTGGCGACTGAGTTCCACATCCTATTCCCTCTGATGTGGAAACCAAACTCCATCTAATGTGGAGTTACTTAAGAATTAAGCCCTTCCTCAGACCAGCAGGCTACAATTTGACAAGATCCAGGAAAGGATATTAACAGGAAGAGTGGAGAAGGGGAAAAGAAAGAGAGAAAAAAAAATACAACCAAAAAAAAAGAAAATCTCTTTGTAGATCTTGAGACAAGGAGGGGTGAGAGAATATCTCGTATAGGGCTTACAACCATTTGAAGCACTGCTTTCAGTCCTTTCGGCGGGCTTCTCCCCATCATCGGACGTAAGTTGCGTGTGTATCTACGTCATCCCCCCCAACTCCCTGAGAAGCTAAGTGTTTTTAATAATAATTTACCACCAGCATAATTTTTACTTTAATTGTTAAATAGGCCTCCACTGTGTTTTATTGTTATTTTGTACTATTGAAGTGTTTTTTGGAGGATTGCACATACAGTGCAGTAGCAGCAAGATATTTATAGTCAAAATATATTAAAGATATTTTATTCATTAATTAAAAATAATATATAGTGCTTATTGCACACGTTTATATAACTTTACCTCTCTGGGATTCCATAAAGGGCCTTTTGTTTGTCTCTTCCACCCCACAGTGGGGATAAGACACATGGGAGGGAGGTCCCTTTGTGATCTCTTCCCCCGTCTTCCCTTTTGGTGTGACTCATTATCATCCCTTTGTAGCGTGGCCATGTGGACCACATTCAATGATTTTTTTGTATCATCTACCCGGTCTGACAGGAAGATGTTTACTTCACTCAGGGTGAAGTTAGAGGATACAGAAGATCATCTCTCTCAGTCCGTGTGGCCACGCTACACATGGAATGACTGAGGGGGGAGAGGGAATGAGACATATAGAGGAGCTGGGGGGAGGGAATGAAACACAGGTGGGGATAAGACACATGGGAGGGAGGTCCCAAGACAAATTTTGCACCGGGGCCCGGTGGTTTCTATTACGCGTGTGGTTATACCAGCCATTATTAGAAGGAAAGGACAAAGAAGGAGACAAATTGTGAGGATTTTGTGATGGAGCACCAGTAGTCCGACCGTGCACCTTCACCAAGTCTGCTTCCTCCCTATTAGGGACCCTGGAGCACTTCAGACCCAGCTGCCGAGGCTTGACTGGGATCTCTGAGAGCCTTTTCCACTCTTGACCAGGCTACTGTGTTTATAGCCCTGGACGCTTTTCATCAGCAGATTATATCCCTGTCCCCATACACCAGACGACACTTGGTGAAGGTTAAAACAGCACCTAACTTTAATATACATAGCACACATATTTATGCCCCCCAACAGCCTCATTTACATGCAATAGGGTGAATAGAGCACTATAGTACATGGAAGGGTGGGGCAAAACAATAGCAAGGGCTGATGGGAGATTGAGGAGAAAAAGGACAGCTAGTTTAAACTGGCCTGGCAATGTCCCTGGGACAATATTACAAAAACCAGCTGGGGAAACAATAGGACAGGAAAAGGGGAAAGGGGGAAAGGCACAGACAATCAACACATTCAACATACCCTGCACAAATACTGGGCACAGGGTGACCAAAACACAAGAGGAATCTGGGGACCCACACATAGTGTCTGTCTTCCATCCACAGTGATGGTGACTACCGTCACAGATATCACTACTTGTTTATAGTTTCTCTCACTGTCTTCAGCCAGGTGTGAATTAAAAGCATTCACTCAGTGTTGTTGGGGCTTAATACTGAGCGTACATCATGAGAGGGCATGGCTAGTTTATGGTTTAGCATTCTGCAAAGCAGTTATTATTTTGTGTAAAAACTATAAATATTTAAGCATGCAACAAATGTAGCATATTAGTAAGGCCCAGAGCTATCAAATACATTAAAAGCTGAATTGGTTCCCAGAGTGTTCCTTTATGAGAAGCATCTGATTGGATACAAGTCATAAGCAATGATGTCCTCACAGGGCTCTTTCCTAGTGGGCTCCCCCTGTCTTTGGCCGCAGCGTTGAGCGAGCGGCTCTAGAGCTGCCCCCCCACAAGCGCCAGGCCGATCCTATAGGCACTCGAAAATGAGGGCGTCGAGAGGAGCCCTTACACAGGGGACTTAGGAGTTGGCCATTTGGCCACCTCAGGAAGCCCCCAAAGCTGTTCTTCAGTATGGCAGAGCAGGCATCTGCTTACCCTGATGGCAGGTGCCTGCTCTGCCGATGAATGATGAAGGAGAGGAGGCAGGTGGCTGCAGTGTGAGCTGTGAAAGAGGCTCTTCTTGCAGCTCCCCACTCCTCCCTGGTGGCCCTCTGTGATGCTGGGAGCCAGAATATGATGTCATTCCATCCCTGGAATACTAAACAGCGCACTGGAGGAGTGAGGAGCTGCCTCACACTGGACTCCCTGGTAGGTATGTCTGAGTCTGTGTGTCAGTGAGTGTGTGAGTGTTTGACTGTGTTTGACTGTCGGTGAGTGTGTGTGTCTGTCAGTGAGTGAGTGTATGTAAATGTGTGTCTGTCTGTCAGTAAATGTTTGACTGTCAGTGTGTGTGTGTGGGTGTGTGCGTGTCTGTCAATGAGTGAGTGTATGTATATCAGTGTCTGTGTGTATGCCAGTGAGTGTCTGTCAGCAAGTGAGTGTATGTCTGTCAGTGAGTGTCTGTGTGTGTGTGTGTGTGTGTGTGTGTGTCTGTCAGTGAGTGAGTGTATGTCTGTCAGTGAGTGTTTTTGTGTGTCTGTGTGTGTGTGTGTGTGTCTGTCAGTGAGGGAGTGTGTGTCTGTCAGTGAGTGTCTGTGTGTGTGTCAGTGAGTGAGTGAGTGAGTGTATGTCTGTCAGTGAGTTTGTGTGTGTGTGACTGTCAATGAGTGTGTATGAATGCCAGTGTGTGTCTGTCAGTGAGTAAGTGACATGAGGTCGCGGAAAAATGGATCTTTGCCTAGGACGCAGAAATCCTTGCACCGGCCCTAATTGGATGTGCACATTTGACATTAAAAAATTACTAGATTTACCCAAAATCAGCCTTTACTTATATAACGCTAAAGGCACCCAGACCTCTTCATCCCAATAAAAAGGTCCTGGTGAAGTGTTTTAATTTTATCCTTGCAAGGTAGAACATTGAAATACGTAGAAACATTAGGGGTGCTTCGCTTTGAGAACAGAGTCAAATTTGGATCTCAGATACTGCTGTTAGAGCAGCATTTGATTGGAGCAGCGCGGCGATTTGCCACATATGAGCGCTAGCATTTAAAGTTTGAGATCTTAACCAATGAGACCTGACCGGCAGAATGGAGAGCAGTGCTCCAAGAGCTAAAGTGTATATAAGAAAGCTTTCTTTCTTTGTTTTTTTATTTTAAAATGGGGAATTTTGATAATTCTGGGTGCATGAACTTTAGATTTTAATCCCTAATGAGTTTTATGGGAACTTTTCCAGAAACAGAACAACAGGGAAAACCCAGAGTATCAGGATTTGCACTTAAAGGTTTATGGACACCAGTGAAGTGCAAACTTCCTTATATATAACAAAAAAAACAGGGTGCAGGGTGATTTGAGGAAATAGAATCGATCAAGTCACTTCAGGTTATCAAGTTTGTTATACTGATAACACAGCAGACTTTGCTAGATTATGACCCTGCTGTACACCAGTTGGTGTGTATAATACATGTCTATAGACATATACAATGAGTTTCTGAAATCACGCTTATCATGATTTTAAAAGAACTCCCTCTAGTGGCGAAAAAGGAAAGTGTTCGCTTGGCTGGAAATCCCCCTAACTTGGGAAATCCCGGAAGGTGGAGCAACGAGGCAAAGCATTAACATTATCTTTACCGTGCGACATCAAGTATAGCTGAGAGGTTCAGCCAGGCCAGGGTCGGGTGTAAACCGAGCTTAGTTCAGCAGGTGACTTGCATGGAGCTTGGTCCCTTGACTGCTGTAGGATCTACCATTGCCAGGAAGTAATGCTGAACCTGATACTGTAATAACAAGTAACTATTAAAGGTACGTTCTAATTATAATATATCTTATGGATTCCTCATCGCACTTGTAGTTTGGAGATGAAAAGGTTAACGAGAAGCCGGCTGAGTCTGTAACGCGGTGGTTCTGTGGTGGGTTTATTGCTGATATCATAGGCCTTTGCTGGGAGAGTTTGCTTTTGCCATAAAGGATAATGATCGCACGATGTAGTTATAGCTACATGTTATTTTGTATACATTGTGGATATGATGTATTGTGATGATTCGAATTGTTACTGTTGTTCTGTGTTCTAAGCATAGTAACATCCTGCACTGCTTGTCCTGTGTTGATTGGAGGGCTAACCTCGCACATGCTCACTGATACTTATTACGCAGGCGGTACTCTATGGGGTTTGTTCACTAAACAGCAATCCGGAGTCAATTGATAAATGAATTGTACGATTTAATTTTTTTGTGGTCTCCACCCAACCTTAAGTCACAGCTTGGCTATTATTATTATTGTGTGTGTGTGTGTGTGTGTATGTGTGTGTATATATATATATATATTTTCTATCAACAAACACGTTGTTAAAGTTTAAGAATAAAATGTACGGTTCATTTTTCACCCCCTTCCTCTCAATAATAATTAATACGATTAAGGTTTTACTTACCTTTTAATAGCACAGAGGCTCTCTCGGTGCCACATTATGCAAGTTCCTAGATTTTTTTGAAATTACTGTTATTACTGTTGAGATATTATTATGGTACAATAATAGTAGCAAAGCACAAATATGCCCCCACTTCACTTTAAAATGGTTTACCACACAGTCCAGAGTGGAGAATTTTCAAATATATTTATCAAAGACTGAATCATCAGAAATAATGCATCAATTTATAGAATGACTGCTTATCTTTTTGTTGCAAAAGTAGTTTTGCCACACAGAAAGCCAATAAAATGTGCTGATATATTTTTATTACCATTGTATTTCTTCCTCGTAAAGGGACACTGTAGGCACCCAGACCATTTTAGCTCATTGAAGTGGTCTGTGTCTCTATTGCCCTTAGTTCTGCAATGTTAAACATTGCATTTCCAGAGAAACGACAATGTTTACATTGAAGCACTAAGTCAGCATCTAGTGGCTGTCTAATAGACCACCACTAGAGGGCTTCCTGGTTTGAAATGGACCTTTGTTCCGGTGTCTGACGCAGGACATCCTCATGCTCTGCATGAGGACCTCCAGAATCCGTTTTTAAAAAAAAAACAAAAAAAAACGGTTCGTAGGGAAAAATCTTTCCTACGGGGAGGCCTAATGCACACCCAGCATTTGTTGCGCATGCACATTAGCATTAACGGCCGCTCATCGCTGGACGGAGAAGGAGCTTCCACCCAGAGCTGAGGGACATCGGCGCTAGCATCAGGTAAGTAAATAAAGGGCTTTCAACCCTTTTAAATAGGGTGGGCACGAGAGAGGGGGAGGCAGGGGGAGCGATAGTGCCAGGAATACAGCTTTGTATTCCTGGCACTATAGCATCCCTTTAATGTTACTTGTACATGACGAAATACTGTTATTCTGATATTACCCAACCGTTACAGCAATTTCACTATGGTTTTTACTAGGCATTTTATATAAAAGTGTGTCTTTGGTCAAAGCTAATAACAAGACTCTAGATCTACCAATCTTGACATTATAATTGACAATGGCAAAACTTATCAAAAATAGCTGGTCAGGAAATAAAATCTCAATCTTAGCTATAGTCACTGTTTGGCTATTTTAGTCTTTATTTTGGATTTTAATTTGTTAATTCAAAGTGATTACAGTGTTAAATTAAAATCTTAGTCCAAAATGTAATTTTCACTTAGGTTATTTTGGTCTCATTTAAAATTCATATAGCATTCCTGACTGTAACGGACCGTTTTGCCCAAAAGAGGTTAAAAACCGTTTAGGCGATATTCCCCTTTCAGATGCACAGACCGCTACTGCAATCACCAATCTCCCGAACTGCATACTACACGAATTCTCCAACTTCCGAACAGGAAACACATGAATACTGGAAACAGCTGAACAGGAAAAACCATATGAAAGGTTTACACTCCTGGCAGTCAGCATACAATCCAATTCCCCCAATAACGAGACGACACTTCGTTTGAGGGTTAAGCAGAATCTGATTTACTGGGGCTAACTGCCCAGCTTTTATGCAGGTCTCCCACCTGGTGAACACTCCCCTAGGAGACCAAATGGGAGACTGGGACACAAAGGGTAAAAGGACCAATCACAGACTTACACATTTCAACCATCCCACAATGCATCACAATTCCTCCTCTCTGCCCTGGAGATAATTGGGAAGTAATTCAATTATCTCCAAAGACAGAGGCAAAACTCCATTAACCACATGGCAGAAAACAAACAGTAAAAGACATAAAATGACCTACAGTTACATTCAGTACATAAAACATATACGTTCTACATATCCCCAGATAGCTCAGGTCTGAGCGCACATTATTAAGCGAATGGCGCTCAGACCACACGAATACAGTTTAATCGCCATGGAACCAAAGTCTTTACACAGTGAGTTTCATGCGAATGGGCTCCATGGGATTCCTATCTGGAGCACAACACACTCAAACAAAACTACCACAAAACTGTGTCCGATTTCAGTTCCATGAATTAAGTGTCGAAAACCGCTGTGCATTCGCATGTTTAAAATGGCCGCGAATCTACCGAACACCCGGCAGAAAAGCACGAATAAGTCTTTTCTGCAGGGTAAAAAGATGTCTTTTAACATAGTCCAAAGGCAGCAGGCGAGCAACCAGGCTTCTCCAGTGTACAGTGGCGAGGTTGGTTTCGCCACACTGACAATTTACACTTTAGTGAACAATTATGTAAATCTAATCGGTTTATTGCCACATGACTTGTAAATCACTATAAAGTTATTCATTTAAACCCCTTTGGAGTTCAAAATGTGTACAAACCCACTGTGAGTAGGAAAAGGGTGCAAATTACACAATGGATTTTAAGACAAATGTGACTAATGTTTGTTTCCTCTTGCAAGCTGTTTGAATTCTGTTCCGTTTTTTTTTTTAGCTAAAGTTTAATTTTGAGAGCATTAGGTAATCAGTTGTTGCTGAAAGCGAGAATATATTTATATTGCTCTTTTAGAGAATATACTTGGCTCAGTCCCATATTGATCAACTCATTGGGTATTCATTGTCATTGGCTAACAGCATCAGCTGATTGCTTTCAGACAGTGATAGAAACACTGAGCATGAAATATGCATATAAATGACATTAGCCAGGCCCTCTTGTTCCGGGCTGGTTAAAGTTGCCAGAAGTGGGTGTTACACTAATGAAGTTGCCAGAAGTGGGTGTTACTCCTCGGACAGAAAAAAGAAAAATATCTCTTTATGTGCATTTCATATTGAAACGCTGCACATAAAGAGTGCAAGCGCCATGTCCACTTTAACCCCTTAAGGACCAAACTTCTGGAATAAAAGGGAATCATGACATGTCACACATGTCATGTGTCCTTAAGGGGTTAAAACTTGCCAGCTAAGATGCATTTTTAATTTTTATTTTATATGTAGGGTACCGATAAAGATTTCCTTTCCACCCACAACTAATTGACATCTCTGAGCAGGGTCATGTAAGGACCCAAAATATGTAAAAAGTATTACTCCAAGCACCATTATGTAGTGGTTATAGTACTATAGGTATTTTCTAACAGTTTAAGTTCTTGCGTGGGGACCAGTGGGCATCACTCCCTGCCTCCTCACAGCCAAAAGTGAGAAGTAAGCCTCGTTAGCTCAAGAACATTTCTGCATGAGTGCTGGGTTCGCAGAAATAACTGACAACACACAGACATGTTGAGAGAATGGAGTTTGTATTATATGTAGGTTTGAAAGTGAAAAGGGAATTTTTTTTTGTACTACTATATATTTTAACCTCTTAAGGACACATGACGTGTGACTTGTCAGGATTCCCTTTAATTCCAGAAGTTTGGTCCTTAATGGGTTAAAGCTATACAGTGGGTTGTGCATTATTCATAAAAAAAGAAAAATACCAACTCCAAGCACTTTACAGCATGCTGTAGTACTTCTGAGGCCTGTATTGCTATGGCACCATTCATTGTAAGAAATCATACTGATTTATTAATGGTTAGCTGGGCAACAATCACAGCCTCCTCTGGTGAGCCCAGGGTTTAGCTAAAGAGTGTAGCTGCTAACAGGAGTTTATGGCCCTGCAAGAAGGCTGAACTGAAGTTTGAAATAAATCTAGAGTGTGCATGTGTTTTGCTTTAGGCTGCAAAAGGAAGAAATAAAGGAAAATGTGCTTCATACTTACCGTAATTTTCTTTTCCTGATCATTATTCATGGCAGCATTTACTCATGGGTTAGCTCCTCCCCTCACAGCAGAAAGGACAGGAAACAGAACTCTGAAACTGGTATAAATAGATCCTCCCCTTCCCATCAGGCAGTCTTTGTAACTAGCTTCACAACTCTTATAATATATGGGTGGGAATGTAATGTTGCCATGAATAAATTATCAGGAAAAGAAAATTACGGTAAGTATGAAACAATTTTTTCTTTTTCCTGACCATTATTCATGGCAACATTTACTCATGGGGAGTACCCAAGCAGTATATATAGAGGGAGGGACAGAGTTCAAAAACAGCCAATAGTTATAAAACCATTATTGGGCTGCATAAACCTTAGAAGACTTTAGAAACGCCAAACCAGTAATCAATAGGATATTGTTATAAAATCTGTTCAGACAAGGTAATTTACCCTAGCGGCTGCAAGGTCTGCAACCTCCTGGCATTCAATATCTGAAATATCCTGAATAGATATAGAGTCAGATAGGAATTAAGGCCATGATAGCATAAGCTGGAGAAGGAACAAGGCTAGACAAACTCTCGTAAGCAATAAGGAACCCATCTTGTGATGGATTAAAAAAATAATGTTCTTTTCTGATATAAATTTAAAACCAATGGATGACATCATCAAATCAGAACCTTGATAAAGGCATACCTTCCAGATATCATACTGGAACAAGCAGATAATATTGGATGAGAACCGTCACGCCATGCTATTAAACATGGGGAGAATTACACTGAGAATCTACTACTTTCAGGATGTATTTTACTTACCTGTAGATACAGGAAACAAAATCAATATTTGCCTGTCAGAGGCAGAGCACAATAATTGACTATATATTGCAAAACCAGACTCACAACAATACCTCACACTGTGGATGAATTGACACAGCAATGATCAGTCACAGGAGAGGTATAAACCTAGGCAAAGGCAAGAAGAATCATATACAGATTAGTTGAAGACAAAAATAAATATCGGTACGAACCGTAGAAATTGTGGCAACTACTAAATTATAAGTAGGCCAACCACGTCAATACCTCCATTCAAATATAAACATATTGTAAATAGTACAGATTATGCTAAACCGTATGCAGGACAGGAAAAAAAGACTGCCTGATGGGAAGGGGGAGGATCTATTTATACCAACTTCAGAGTTCTATTTCCTGTCCTTTCTGCTGTGAGGGGAGGAGCTAACCCATGAGTAAATGCTGCCATGAATAATGGCCAGGAAAGGTAAGTATTTGTACTATAACTTATCTAATGGAAATGAGTGTTTATGAAGCTAGACAATTTATAAATTACATTTTGTCTGGCTACAGTGTTTGTATATCTAGTCACCCCCAGATACTCTGCACAGCGCCTAGCATGTTGATTGTTCCCAGCATTAAGCAATTGTCTGATATATGCACATCCACTGAGGTGCTCATCTTGTAGGAGGAAGAAGCTGTTTTGAGGTATTCGTTTAATATATTAATTTAGGGGTGATAAACTGACACAATGGCTTTTAAAAAACGTTTTTTATTTATTTCATTCACACAGTTCTTTGGGCAATCTCCTGTTTTCAGGATACATAGGTTCCGTTATAATTATAACAAACTGGTTTATCTTTATCTCTTACCTGCAACTATATGTCAAAAAACCATAATGGGATGCCAATTGCTTAAACCTAAGGATGGGTTAAGAATCTGGGTATTGTGGTTTCTAGATTGTGGATATGATTTATTAGCCAGTAAGATTGTGTATAGAAAACAGTGGGCAGTCTTGGCTTTGTGGTTTGTTAAAAATACACTTTGAAGAAGAAGCAAAAAAAAAAAAAAGTCCTACTCTGCACTGGGCTCTGACCTGGTTACCGTATATCTTTCTATGAATTTAAACTAGTATTCTGGATCGATGTATTGCTGCCTCTGGGTACTCATATACCTGCTACCACTGTTAAAAAACTATTACATTCTACAAAATCGGTTCTTGGTTTTGTTTTGTTTTTTTTTTGTCTCTTATTAAAACCTTCCTCTGACAGTGATGCTTTTATTTTAAAGCTCAAACATATGTTATAAATAATGCTTTGCCAAAGTAATCATCCAATGACTGTCCTCAGAGTTCCTTGATGATAACAAAACTAGTTATGATATAGATGATGATGTTATGATATTTTAGTAAAACTGTGTATTATTATGGTTTTTGTTTAGTTTTGTGCTAAAGGGCAACTGTGACTTCTCTGGAATTTACACTTTAAAAATTGCTTATACCGTGTATCTTTTTTTTTTTTTTTTAATGAGATGCTCTGGTTTTTGTTAGTTTTTCTTTTTTTTTTATCATTTTATATAAAAGAAATTACCAATGGCAGCATAATCCAAAACAAAAGGCAAACATTGCACATGGTTAGGAGTAATAGAAACATTGTCTATTCTCTAACACAGCCATGCTTTCATTTCAGCTACTCTGGCCTTAAATTGGAAACTATACATAAAACAAACCATACATTTTGACCTCTACGGCAGTAGCATTCCTGTAAAATGCGTGTTCTGGGTGTGATCCCAAATACCCTTTTTTTTTTTTTTTTTTACTTTAAATTGAAAATTAACCTTTTTTGACTTTGGTAAATACCCTGGATGGCTCTTTCTGTTAAAGTGGTTTCACTTATGTATCACTAATCTACTAACTTTTTGCAAATATTAAATCTATCTTTGTAGTAAACTATATAAAATGAAAGGCAAACGTGTAGGAGGATGTGAAAAACTAACCACGTGTTTTGTTATTTTAATCATGCGCTAATCTCCTTCTCCATCCCATTATTTGTCTTTTAGATTGTGTTTAAATATTGATAGGGGCATTTTTATTTGGACTACAACTACTGTCAACCAGAGTATTTATTTTGTTTGTTTTCTACACAACAATCTTTCTCTTAATCCTGGTTTGAGTAAACATTTCAGATAAGCATGTAAATTATGTCTGCAGCCCTCGCAATCCATCCCCTTTTACCTCAGAAGAGACTTTCATTCTCTTTCTAAGGAAAGAACTAATCACAAACTTCTCATTGAGAAGCCTCCGAGTCTGTTCCCTTCCAGGCACTCGTCTGCTATTACATGCTTGGCTACTCTTGTTTGGTTGATCCGTGGTCTAAGATGAGGTCTTTGGAGGTGCACACCCACAGACTCATGTGACTGCACAGGTGACTGGGAGGACAATGATATAAAGGGGAGAAGGCAGGCACACTCAAGTAGAGCATGCCTGCCACTTCTGTTAGCTCAGTGGAGCTAAAGGAGGAAGAAATCCTCCCAAGGAGGATGATCCCGGCGGCGCAAAGTCGCAGAGCAGTGCTGCCAAGGCCAGGTCTTGGGCGGCGCGGTAGGCCCCGGACTTGCTTTTCTTCCTTGGTGCCTTGGGAGCGTGGAAAAACAACATACGTTGCTACAGGTGTGTATTCTGGCGATATACGCGTGCAGGTGAGGGGTTAGCTTCTAAAAAGAGGCTTTTTAAGCGATTTCCAGCAGAGCCAAGGTGAATGGCGTCCGCTCTGGTTCAGATGCAAGCTCCACCCCCCCTACAATTTGCCTCTTTTGAACTAAAATTTAAAATAAATTTGTCAATTCTTGGCAATTCCTGGTTAGCCCTATTAGTTATAATATTGGTAACAAACAACATTCACGACTTGTTCTCTTCTCCTATCCCATGGTTTAATTAACGTATGATGTGGGCTGCAATCTGACTACCAGTTAATTATTTGGGTTGGAATCTGTCCACTAGTTATCCCACATCCAGTGGGATTAGGAAATTCATTGTATAATGAAATCAGGTTATTTCCCACATATTTCAGATAGTTACACTGTATATTCATTCACAGAAAATGGAATTCACTGAGCATTGTAGCCAAGTCTTACTTGTATATTTTACATTTGATCAGTTTCCCAATTCCACAGCCTCTGTTTTGTTTTGTTTTTTTACAGACGGTTCACCTCCTCACCTTCCTTCTTCCTCAACAATGCAGAAACAAAAAAAATAAAGTAATGGCTGCACAAGCAGTGTGTCCTTTTAGCCTAACTGCTTGCTTAAAAATTGCAGTCATAATATTTTCACTGTACGTAATTCCAATGTAGCAGGTAGATCTGTTTCAGCTAATTAAACTGCACTTCAGATGTAATCCAAAGGTTTAAAGCAATTTGAACCCTATTCATCAAAAACCCTTGGAAATATCTTACAAAATTTGAAACTTTTCTTAAATTGAAATATTGAAGTTCGTTGTTTCAATATTTCAATGATGACATTGTTTACTATTTTACTCCAAATGGCCAAATAATTACCATATATTTCTGCTCAGTATCCATTTGCTGCACTCCATTAGTATAGATTATTGTACAAATCGCAGTCAGGTTTATTCACTTACCGTATGTGAGAATGGTCAGAAAATCAAAGTCAATTTAAAATTTAAGGCCTAAGTAGTCAAACTGGATACATTCTAAAGTATTCAGGCCTTTAGCTTGAAATTCATTTTCAATTATCAACAGTTCTCACATTAGAAAATAACGATGTTCCAATGTTCTCTCTATTTTTGTATACATCCTTCTCTCTAAAACTTAACCCTGGTGTTTTAATTAATTTTTTTCCAATAAAACAAATACAATTAAAATCCTAGATTGCAAGTCCTTTGTACTTTACAAGCGTATCTAGTTTGACCTTACTTTTTATCACTGGAAATTTCATAAGTGAATTTTTTTGCAACCCTAAATCAGTAACCCTTGTCATTTTTACTGTAATTATCACTGTAAATATTGTGTAATTGCTTGTAAGAATGAAGTTGGCATAATAAAGAAATGAATGTGTCAATTATGCAGTACTTCCCCATGTATATTTATTTCTTATCTTTAAATACATAAATTACTTCTGAAATGCATGACTAATTTTTTTTCTTTCATTTATGAAATCTCGGAAACTTGCATTGGTTGTTTTGTAACTTTAGGGGATTTCATTCAATTTTACTACCTCCCAGGTACAAAATCATTGTCCAGATGACAGCTGACTTTTTTTTTTCTTCCATTTTCACAGCGAGATGGCAAACCAGCAAGGTCTTCCTCAGGATCTATACATGAGTAACATGTTAAAAGCTATAAAAATCAGAGATAAAACTCCACAAGATATCGTCAAGCCAAGCAATGGAATCATTCATCATTTTAAAACCATGCACCAATACACTATTGAAATGTTTATGATTTGCCAATTTTGCTCTCAATTTCGGGAAATACTACAGAACTGTCTTGTAGACAGAGCTATGCAGATCGCACTGGAGTCTCAAAAAAAACTCAATGCCTGCAAGGAAGTTAAAAGGCTTGTCCCTCTAAAGACAAATGGTAAGAATAAATATGTGATTTATATTTTCTCTGTTGACTTATGTTTTGTGGTTGTGTTTTTTTTTTAAAGAATTAAAATATGTATTTAAAAAAAAAAAAAAGGCTGCTAAATACCTTGCAAGCATACTTATCTTGGTAATTCCTTATTATTTTTTTAATTGTTTTTTCTTTCAAAGTGTAAAATCTTAAATCAAAATACTGGGTATAATTTGGTTTGTTTGTTTGTTTGTTTTTTGGGGTTCAGCGGCCACTGCTTTCATGTTGACTTACCAGAGATTTTTAAGAATGAATATATTGATCAAGAGCAGTTAACATTATAGGAAAGTAAATGCTCTTTTTAAAAGCCGATCAGGAACATTAAGAATGAGGCACAATACACTGCAAGAAAGCCTATAGGGTTAACAGCAGATATTATCTGAATGCCTTTTCGGGAAGGTAATTGAGAATGTAGAAAATGAGGAAGAAATCAGTACTATAAAAACTGAAACTGCACAAGTGCAAGAAGGTTTAAAAAAAAAAAAAAGACTTCTTTTAATTGGTTTTAGGGATTTCACTTGCCTTATGAATATACATTCCAGCAAGACCTTACCCCGCCCCTTTGGAAAGTCCAGTCTGTATCAGTGTTGAAAGAGTAGAAAAAAAAAACAACAATAATTGTTACCCAATCGTTAAGCACATAGCTGAACACTGGGAAATTCCAAGTGACAGGCAGGGAATTTCATACTGATTTTTCTCTGTAAGAATGAAATGTGGCGATAAAACAAATCTCATCATTGTTCTAGACTTTTCAAGGGAAATTTTACCTGTTTATTTTATAAATAGACGGTGCATTTGTTCTGCATTTGCCAACCTCCATTGAGTTAAAAGAAATAAAAAGGAGAAAACATGTAAAGAATTCATTGAATGTAAATTAAGTTGGGCAGTGTTCTTACCTACATCTAGGACTAACTTCATGGCTAGTGAAGATGAATTGAGATGAGCATAACCCATTAAAGATGGACAATGTTTGACTACTATCCCATCATCCACAGAAAGCACATTTTCATTGCATAGGGATTGCACCTAAACACAGTTTGATGCATGTGCAGTGTCCAGCCATAACAATCTTTCCCATTTACATAATATTAAAGCAATGGTCTGTCCTTTGATTTAGTCATAGATTTTTAAATTGCGCTTAGTTTACTAGTATTGAAATGTGCTATAAAGATGTAATAACTTGTATTCTGACCATAAGCAGCAACATGCAAGCAGATTTAAAGGGTCATTCAAAGCACCATTGCAACTTGAATCATTGCAAATGTTATAGTGCAGAGGATATCCTTCTACTTGTCGCCCTTCCCAGATAATCTTATAACTGTGGATACTTACAAAAAAGTCAAAGGCAAAATTTAAATTCCTTATTTGCCAGGTTGTCTGGTTGGCCAGATCGCTATCTCTCTTCTTCAGTGCAGCTTTATTGGAATGTGCAGTTGGTGATTTATGTGGTCCATACATTGCCACGTTCTCAAACTGCTGCTCTCAACATATTGAGTAATTCCCCTGTATCTTGAGTGGAACTATGGCTGGAAGATACATACCCTATTAAAATTGTGCTGGAGATTAGTCTACAAGATAAGATCCTAACCCATACATCAGAATAAGCGGCTTCTGATTTGGGGAGTCTCTTCCTAGCAAGGTCTACCTTCTGTTTGTACTGCATTAGCAGGACCGTTATTAACCTCAAGAGTCCCTTTTTATTTTAAGGATTTTTTTTTTTTTGCATATTTTATTTTCAATCCCTTTTGTAAAAAAAAAAAAAAAAAAAAGTGATTAATTCCAGCTTGTAGAATCTCTTTAATTATTGCTGCATCAAATGTTCTGAGTAAGCTTAACTGTAGATTTATAATATAGGTATGTTTTGAGTGAATGTAGTTTAGCAATAATCCCCCTTCCAACTCTGATTTGTAGCAGCCTAAGTTCCATATGTTTGCTAATGTATGAAGTGAGCACATCAGGGAAATATTTAATGTTTTTGAGTATTTAGTTTTGTATGAATATAAATCTGTTTCTCCTTTAGTCTTTTGATCTATGAATAGCATTGAGTGGCAATTCTGCATGCACGGCAAAATGCCACACTGTGTCAATCAATTGATTTCTATGATTGTTGAGTTTCCACTGGAATAATTTCAACCCTGCAATGTTAATATCCGCAGAAAAGCAAAAGTTTTCAGTTGCAGAATTAAAACTAGAGGACCATGGCACCCAAACCACTTCTCAAAGAAGTGGTCTGGGTGCCTATCGTGTCACATTTAATGCAGCGTAGGAAAGACCATGTTATGTGTACTCAGAAAAAGATTCATGACCACTAAATTACATTTGGACTAGTGCTTCCTTGGCACTTTCAGATCTTTAGCCTGTGTTACAGATAAACTGTGACATAATATAAATATAATAGATTGAATAAAATGATACGTATACAGGTGAGGGTGAACAAGTGGGAATGTGCAAATGGGGAGCCATTTGGACAATAGACAGTGCGGATTTGGTAATCTCACCACATGTCGTAGCCCTATTTACTACACTTAAGAGAAATATGTGCAGAAATGTGTTTTTGTTTTTTCTCTTTCCTCCCCACCTTTTTCTTCCTTCATACCTTCCTCGATTTCGTGGACCTCTGTGCTAGCTCCTGCACTTGCTCAAGTGCTTTAATTGTAGTCCGTTCCCGTGGATGGTTACCACAAAGTGGGGACCGCACTGCGCTGTGGTCCTAGGCGGGTCCTTGTTAAAGAGAGTGTGAACAACTGTGTTCTACAAGTACTGACATCCGATGCATGGGGCAAAGTTGTGGTTGTCTGCTATAAGAGAGCACTTGTATCACTTTTATCTCTGTAATTTGCTAAAACTGTTTATCCTTTAGACTGATGATCCTGTTTTATTCATTTCTTGCAACTTGTATAGTATACTAATGTTTCTTTATTTTGTTCATAAACGTAATCAAGAATATCCATAAATAAAGATTGACAAAAAAAAAAAAGTATCTCCATGACCAATAGATATAACATACAAAATTCAGCATACTCTACTTTAAATTGGCTTTAATATACACAAAGTTTTCAAAACCACCTGATTCAAGTACAGATAATGGAATTTAGTTACGGCATATGATCGCATATTGTATACACAACATTTGTGTATCCCATTTTGGCACGTCTTCCTGTATACCATTGTAATAATGACTCTGAGAGCATTTGGACCTGCAGAAAGAGGGTACATAGGCATTGTGTCGTGCTTATGAAATGTATGTTCATAGACTGCAACTAGATTACCATTATTTTTACCTTAATCTGTGCTTAAAGGGACACTATAGGCACCCAGACCACTTAATTTTATTGAAGTGGTCCGGGTACAATTTCTCTGTCCCTCTTAGTCCTTCAGTGTAAAAGATAAGCCGTCATAAGCACTGAAACGCGCGTCGGGTTTCTTTTTACTTATTTTTATTTTTGCACTAAGCACTAGTCACAGTTTGCACTTCTCTAATTGATGTTTTAATGGGAACAGGAAGGTAGATGGCTAATATGGCGGCAGTAACTAGCATCTAACACCCACCAACGTGTAGCTTCTAGTGATCAGTGAATTAAGGTCAGCCAGATTTGGAAGTGGTTAAAGAGATTTAGTTGAACTATCATGGATCAGTAGTTAGCCTTAGAGACCAATAGATCAGGGTCCGCCAGAGGAGTAGCTTATAAAGGAGATTATTTTGACATCAAGGACTAATCTGGGATCAATTGGTAGACTTGCTAGTACTCCAGTTTAATATAAGCATATGTAGCTTGACATTTATTATCTTTGTAACTATTGTGAAGTGAAAATATATCTATCTCCTCATCCTCCAACTCACTACCTATAGTAATGCAATACCTGTTCATCTAACATTATACCACTCCTTTAAATTTGGGATATAGCTATCCCTCACATTGTGGAGGGATATTGTGGATACCATTTTAAGATTTATTCTCTTGCTCTTTTCTACCTTGATATCATGTAAATTGTCCTCCCCTATGGTACTTTCCTTGTAACTGTAATAGGAATTTAGTGAATCCTCCCCTTTGTTTCAAAACTTCACAGCCTTATCTAATCTTATGCAGGGAATAGACTTTCTCCCCCTAAATAAAGAGAGATTAGATACATGTCTGTGTTAATTATACAATGTAGATAGAATGAAGAGATTCATCTGAACTCCTGGATGGCTACCATTTTTTTCAGGGGTCAAGTCCTGGGGAATAACTTGTGGGAACTCACCCAAGATCCCCCCCCCCCACCACCCCCCAAAAGAAAAATGATACGCACACACACACACACATATATATATATATATATATATATATATATATATATATATATATATATAATATCTGGGTGAAGGGGTGACAGTGTGTAGAGGCTGAAAGTAATTGGAGATGGTGATATTGTATGGAGGGGGTGACAGGGTGGGGATAACTGTAAGGTGGGGAGGGGGGACTGTGAGGTGACAGCCAGACACACACACACACACACTTCCCCCAAACACTCAGATTATTTTTTAATATTCACCCATCCTCCCTACATTTGGGAGAGCTGGGTGGATTTTTTACCAGTGGGGCTACTGGCCGGTCTGTGCGGGTAGGAAGGAAGGCAGGCAGGCGGTTAAACTCCAGACGTGATGCAGGAATTACGACATATTCCAGCTCCCGGCATCACTCTGCGGCGCGCAAGGGAACTGAGCAGGGAAAGCTCACAGATCAGCGTTCCCTTGCAGCCCGCCTGCCTTGAGGCTAAGAAGGCAAATGCCTTGCTTGCCTCATGGGCAAACAAGTCCTGCAGGACCACAAACTGGAACGGTGTTCCTGCTGTGGAAAAAGTGCAAGAACATCGTTCCCATGCATTCCTGCAGGACTTGAGCCCTGATTTATTTTTTTATTTTTTTATTTTTTTATATTTTTTATTTTTTTTAACATTAGGTATACTTGCTATCCATTAAGGTCACTTTGGCATTTTGGCAATGATCAATAAAGCCTAAATGAGCCATTGGATACTCTGTAGCAGTTTCATACCCATTAAATATTTATTCCTTTCTAAATACCTCATAGAAATCTCTCTTTGGGATTTCTTGCTTACTCTAGTCTATTTGATATTCAATGGGTCCAAGACCAAGGTGCAATTGGTACCACCTATAGTGACGAACTCCCTCCCCTTTTTTTTTTTTATAATTAAAAAGAAAGATGTATACCTTTTAAATGTTCTCTTTAAGATGTTTACACCACCTAAGATTAGTGAAGGGGGTTTCAGAGTTAAAGTAAAATTTCCCTACCAATGCACTCTTTTTCTTTTGCTTTTTGTTTATGTAGTCTAAAATATTTTGCAAATCACATGTACTGTGACTTTCATTAATAGTTTTGCTATCAGTGTTTTGTTACCAAGTACCTGGACACTTGTCATGCATATTAAAGTATAAAGTGAAAATACTTTGCCTTACTGTATATGCAGGCTGTATTCCTGGTTTTGCAAAACAAACAAGTTCTGCGGAACCTAAGTGAATTTTGTAGCTTCCATTTGCAAAAGAAAAGGACAGATGAGGACAGTGGAAATTCACAGATATTGTAATTTACAGTATCAATGGATCTCAGCGTAAATTCTCCCAGCATTATTATTCTGTCAGTGCTTTCCATGGGAAAATAAATGTGCGTAATTGCAATATTGGAGATGTCATGCCTGCATACACGTGATTTAACTCATGCACAATATAGAACTTGTACGAATGCTCAGTGGTATTCATTTATTTACCTATGGCACTGTCTGGCAAGATTTCTCTTTCCTGCTGCCAGTCATATAGCAATAAGAAAATGTGCCCACAAAGTCTAAATGTTTTGTTTAGCTGTTGCATTTCTATTTTTTTTTTTTTGTAATTCTTTATAAGTAAAAAATGCAGCATTGCATACATGATGTACATAGAAAAGGTATGTAGTAAAGTTTACATCTTGTAAATTGAGGTTGGCATTTGCCAGGATATATTGCATTACAACATAATAAACAGTTTAGATGTAGACCCAATTTAGTTGGGCTCCTGCTGTGGTAGACAAAGGTGAATAAGGAGAAGATCACTTGGTATGCCCATCTGATGGTTGGCTCCATCTTAAACTGATTTTTTTATTATATGGGTATAGAGGAAAAAAGAGGGAGGGGTTGGGGACTTATATGAAAGGGTAGAGAAAATGTAATTGTGGGGACACTGGGGCTTTGGTGCAAAGCATTGGCATGGGTGACCCTGTCGGATCCCTCTGCGTGTTGTTGCACCTTTCCACCTTTCCCACGGCTGCCACACCTTGTTATAGAAGCATAGGTATTACGCACCTGCACTCTCAGTTTATTCATGAGAAAGTTATCCTTTATTTTAGTGATAACTTTGTCGAGAGGGGGGGATGTCGACATTAAGCCATTGTTGGGTTAATGCTCTTCTGGCCGCTAGTGTTATTTTGTTCACTAATTTCTCGTGCTGTAAGTCCATCTAGTGGCTTAGCCAGTAGGTAGATCCAAGGGTCCCTACAGACCGGTCTCCCCAGTACGTCTGTAATCAGTTTTTCTATTGCTGACCAAAAGCTCTCTACCCATGGACAAGTTCACCACATGTGGATGTAGGTGCCCCTCGCACAGCAGCCCTTCCTGCAATCATCTGTGAGAGTTTTACCCATTCTGCATAGTTTGATTGGGGTGGTATACCACTTCATGAGAGTTTTGTATGATTGCTCTTGGAGCACCATGCAAACGGAGACCTTGGCTTCTGCTTCCCAGATATCCTGCCATTCACCACCCTCTAAGATCTGTTGTAGATCTGTTTCCCATTGTATAATGTATGTAAGGGGTTCTTTGTTGCCCTCTGGGGTGCTGAGCTGGGTAGTTGTTGCATTTTTAATGTATTAACTATTATTAAAGCATCAATAAGACTTAATCAATATGCACTATACTAGACAAGATGCATTTTTTTAAAACCAATTTGGCTACAGCAACTGGGCATTCATTACAAAGAAACACATTTTATATCTCGTTGCTTATTGACAAGTCTGATTAAATACACAATATTTTCTCGTGTGTGTGTGAAAATAACAATAAAGCAGCAAACAAAAATAATTTCCAATATTCAAGAAGATATAAGCAGCCAAACATAGTAATAACCAAAGCATTAACAAACCTATTTTATGTAATTTTTCATAAAATTCTAATGTTTGAAATGTTATATAGCTTGATAGAACCAGGATGAGGCTGTAAACTCCTGAGGAAATCCACACACTATAAATATCACTGAGTCATGGCACCAACGTATCATTTTAGTCAGGTGAGCCGGTGAGACCAGCAGTGTATCAGTCATAGTCACAGGATTAAGAATAAAAAGTACTACAGTCACATTTCCATGACTCAGATTAATACACTACTTGCTAAATCATTCATAGTTTACCGTTAAACGAAGATGAAAAAAAAATATTATATATTTAAATGCAATGACCGAACAGAAAATGTTTGTACTTTAAACTTTTGTTATTGGTTTTGTTGGAATTAAAACAAACCATGCTCAATCCAGTGAAGTGGTGGAATAAACTGTTCTCTTTATATTTTAATGAAATACAAAAACATAATCCTCCATAACCAAAATTGATGGAAATTAGGGCTCTACAATAATTCAGTGCCTTAAACTGCCTAAATGTCATGTTAATGGGACACTAACTTTGCTGAGCACAGATTTTTGCGTTTTGAGCTCCGCTTGATTTTTAACGGATTCTAATACATGTCTTTGTTCCTTTGAAAGCTCTAGCTTAATGAATAAACTGGCCTCCCCAAGGAAAATGAAATGTAAAAAGTTAAATGAACACTCCAAGTACCATAACCACTGTAGTCCACTGTGGTGGTTATTGTGTCCGCAGTGCCCTGGTACCAGTGTTAATTTTGGCTGCCAATTTTAATTAGGTTTTAGTTATAGTCTTTTGACTAAAAAGCTGTTTAAGTCATATGTTAGTTATCTGAATAGTTTTAAAGTCAAGTTTTAGTAGACAATCTTGAAATATTTAATCAACTTAAATCTGACTACAATTGTTATTTGACAAAATTTAACACTGCCTGGTACCCCTAATGTAAGAAGTCAAACCATTTAAGAATAGTTCGACCAGTTATGAGGGATTTACCAGGCTTCCCTCGCATTAAGCTCTAATAAGGGCGGAGAGGGTGGGGAGGGGCGGTTATCTTGACATTTATTTTTTATGTATGCATGAATCAAAACCTGTTTTCTTATGCTCAAGGTTTGCAGTAACTTATTCTAACTAACTGTAGAAAGTGCATCCCCTAGGCTATTTAACTAAGAGCATTTTGACACTTTTAATCATTTTATTACAAACCTTTATATTTTTTTGTACAAGTGTTTTATTTTTGCAAAATTTGCAGATTACGTGTCCTACTACTGTCCACACCCCATATACGTATTCTGATACTGTTTGCAAATACAATGATACCCCAAATGTATAATTTTCCTACCATTCCAACCCCATCTTCCCAATTATCCTACCATAATCCAACACCAGAGAGATTCCCTCTGGTTGAAGTCAGTACCAGTAGCGAAGCTTGACTTTTTTACCTAGGGCAGAGACTCAGTTGAGCGGTGAGGGGGTGAATGTGGGGAGTGTGACAGGGTGTGTGGAAGGGTGAGGGCTGGCTGGTTTTGGTGATCCGGCAAATATGCATTTTACATTTTTTTTTTTCTGTTGTTGTCTTCCAGGTGATGGGAACTGTCTAATGCATGCCACTTCTATGTATATGTGGGGTGTTCAGGACATGGACCTTCTGCTGAGAAAGACCTTGTATGATGTCTTGAGGACTACAGATACTCGAAACTTCAAGTATCGTTGGCAATTAGAATGCATAAAGTCCGTAGAGTTTGTACAAACAGGACTGCGTTACAATACGAAGGTAAGAAAGTTATATTTTATTAAATGTTTTTTCTGTGTACAAATAAACCAAAACCACAATAGTATTATAGTGATAGTAAAATATATAGAGAGATTTATACATATTTCCATTTGTTGGTAATATTAATGCGAAGAAAAACTGTATTGAACAGGTTGGTTATTTTTGTTTGTGTTTTTTCTATGACTAATGCTATGATAGAGTTGCACCTTAACTTGCTGTGGGATTGTGACCAACACATTTCTTGTGAATATCATTCAGAGATCATTGATATTTAATTTTAATACCAAATTAAGGTAGTTATGGGTCTTCAATAAAAGCAAATCGGCATTGACTTTGGTTTTAATTCATAGAATTGGGATGAAGAATGGGAACATCTTGTCCAAATGGCATCAGCTGAAACATCTGAGGGCCGAAGTGGGCTCCAATATAATTGCCTTGAGGAAATACACATATTTGTCCTAGTTAACATCCTTCGGAGGCCTATTATCGTTCTTTCAGGTGAATATATTTCACAGTCCTTATGAATATGTGAGCTTTACCTAGCTGAGTGACATGAAATATTTGCAGACTGTAATTATCAGTGCTTAGAATTACAAGTGGTGCTAAAACAGAAAATGATTGAAATTGTGTCGGATTATCTTCCTGAATAGATAAGGTTATGAGAACCTTGGACTCTGGCTCCAGTTTTTCCCCTCTAAGTGTGGGTGGAATTTATTTACCTCTTCATTGGCCTGCACAGGAATGCTATAAGCACCCTATCATTCTTGGATATGACTGCCAACACTTTGCACCTCTTGTAACTATGAAAGACAGTGGACCTGGTATGTATATATTTGTCTTTTCTTTAGTTTTATAGAGAAGTTGTATATATTTGAAAGCTCCAAAAGCAATCTGTAAGGTCTTACATCTGGTTTCTTAATTAAATCTATTCTAAATCCCTTGTAATGAAAACGTGGCTGCTATGACCTACATTTTACCAATTTGGTTTTCAATTTACTACTACTGACACAGAACCAGCTAAATGAAGTGCCAACAGAATGTTGTTTTAATTTTTTTTATATGCTTAGATCCTAGTTCTCTGTATAAAGCATAGGTAAATTAGTCATTTTCAGCATATATCCTATAGCAGTTCACAAGTCATGTCCTTACCAGATCCAATTTCCTTTACCGTTATATTTTCTATACTCAATATTTTTGTGTGCATGTCTGTATCTATCTATCTATCTATCATATTTCTCTCTCTTGCTCTCCTTTTTTTTTTTTTTGCTAAGGATATATATTACTCAGGACATACTTGAAAACAAGAGAAATCTCAATGTATCTTTCCTGGTAAAATATTTTATAAATAAAATATTTTTACAAATAAAATATTGGTGTTGATGCTGTTAGACCGTAATTGTTAATACATATATGCAGTTGTTCATGTTGGTGGAATGTTTTTTGATCACATGTCAAAATATTCATATGAAATGTGGTTTACCTAACAGAGATACGAGCTGTCCCATTGGTCTTTTATGAAGGACGGACATTTGCAGACATGAACGTGCATTTTTTGACAGAGCGTGAGGAGAAACTGAAAGAGAAGCTGCTTAAAGAGTATTTATTGATGTTGGAAATTCCCGTGCAATGCTGGGAGCTTGGAACGAATCATTTAATAAATGCTGCCTGGTCAGTGACACTGAAATGACTACTTAAACATTCCTCTTAATTAGAATATATTTGGAACGTCTTCTTGCCTAAATAAGGTCTTAAACAGTCTTTATTCACAGTGTGAGTTATTGCAAATTTTATGCAAAAGTGCCCAAACAGGGAAAAAAAAGTTGACATGGAGAATGTATCCAGTTGGGCTATTTTGGCATAAAATTGTAAATTCACTTAGAAGTACCAACAATTCATAATTTTGTGAATAACCCTATTAGTCTCACTTTCGCTTATGGGGTATTTTAGTTTTAAATTTGTATTTATTATTTTTGCTGACAGATGTGAAGCTCTTTTTTTAGTTCCTCATTTCTCCTCTAAATTTCAAGTGTGACATTGGGAAAAGCCACCTTGGGCACAGTATTTCTGAGAAATAATGTTTTCACAATTCTCACAGAATTCCCAGTTTTGCATGCAAATTAGCCCAGACAGGCATTGTGTTTCAGATTTTATTCTGTATTTCTGTGGATACCCTTATGAGTGGACCTTATCCATATGATGCATAACAATTTATTTTAATATTGTATATGTTTATATAGTAATATGTAAATATATCAAATATGTCACTAGGTATCTTTGCAAAAAAAATAATAATAACAATGAAGTGACATTGACACACAGAATATTAGAATAGTATGATTACAAAGTATACTTATAGAGTATTAGAATCTAGCATATCATGTTTTAGAATTCTGTCACCTGCAATTATTCTCATTTTCTAATTAATGAGTAATAATGGATGGTGCAGTCTGTGGGCACCAATTTCAGACTTAGCTGGTGTATATTTGTGTGTATAGAAATATGTATTTGTACATGTATGTGAATGTACAAAAGAATATATGTATCTACAAATGCTATAAAAAGTCAAAACTGTCTTGTTTATAGGTTGGATGAAGGCAATTTACCAAATGATATAAATTTAGTGGAAGATTACTTAAAGCTGGCACAACACGAGTACAAGAGGTGGCAGGAGACTTCAGGGCAAAACAGCACCGGAACTGGTGCCAAGAGCAAATTTGAGATTTCTTTAAATCATCTGTCAATTTTAGAAGTGAAATGTAAGACTCCAAATTGTCCTTTTTACATGTCTGTGAGCACCAAACCCTACTGCCACGAGTGTTCCGAAAACAAGACAAGTGGTAAATCTAACAAAGAAAAGACTGAATCTGTTACAGCTGGAGAAGAATATTATAATCTCTCAAGACAAATGGCAGGAGATACAGATGTGCGGCCACTTTCTGCTTTTGCAACTGCTCCTAGCCTTTTTCTCTTTAGTGAAACTAATGCAATGAAATGTAAAACTCCTGACTGTCCTTTTACATTAAATGTGGGGCTCAATGGACTATGTGATCGCTGTCATAATTCCAAACAAAACCCCCATCTCAACTGTATTGAAAGGACAAGAAATAGCAACATTATACATTGTAATGTCTGTTTAAAGAATACCACACGAACTTTTAATGGTATCTGCAGCTCTTGCTTCAAAAGGACTACAGAACATTCTACCAGCTCAAGCTTCCCACCAGCTGTCCATCAGAGGTCAATCTCTGAACCTGCTAGTTTATCAAGGAGTCTAGTTCAATTAGCAGGTCTAGAAACCAGCAACCAAGAACTCCGAGAGCCACCTGCAGTTATACAGTCAATAGTGCCTTTTACTGTAGAAGAAAGAACAGTTAATCAAAAGTGTAGAAAATCTGGCTGTCCATTTTTTGGAACGCTTCAGAATGAAGGCTTCTGCACGATATGTTTCTTTGAATTTCAAACCAATAATGGTATGTTGTTTGTGTTATATGTGTAAAAACCCATATTTTTGTATATGTGCTTTGCTGATTGATTTTATGTGAAAAAAAATACCTTTTTTCTTCTTCTGTTTGTCTTGTTATGCATAATTTTGTTGACATCCCAATGTCCATTTGTTTTACAGTTATAGTTTAAGGAACACTATAGTGTCAGGAACACAAACATGTGTTCCTGACCCTATTGTGTTAAAACCTCCATCTTGTCCCTCTCCCCCATTCCTTGCCTCCCTAAATATAGTCAAATCTTACTTGTATTCAAGTCTGCAGCCTCTGCCCCTGATCTGCCTGCTTGGCTGACATCAGAAGTGATTATCTAAACCAATCACAATGCTTTCAAATAGGATTGGCTGAGACTGTCAAGGAAGCAGATCAGGGGCAGAGCCAGCACATGTCAAACACAGCCCTGGCCAATCCGCATCTCCTGTAGAGGTGCATTAAATCAATCCATCTCGATGAGGAAAGTTCAGTGTCTCCATGCAGAGGGTGGAGACACTGAATGGCAGTCACACTGTGCAGCACTGCCTCAGGAAGCACCTCTAGCAGCCATCTAAGGAGTGGCCAGTGAAGTTGTCACTAGGCTGTAATGTAAACACTGCATTTTCTCTGAAAAGACATTGTTTACAGCAAAAAGCCTGACGTTAATGATTCTACTCACTAGAACAAACACAATAAACTGTAGTTGTTCTGGTGACTAGAGTGTCCCTTTAATACAGTTGTACATATCTGTGCATGTAATATGTTCAATACAGATACAAATACCGCATATTCACAAGGATACTTTTCATCAACAATGGGCTGTAATGTGGATTACTAGTAGTTCAGTGATAAAACACCAACATTATCTACAGCACAATATATATGATGTATTCATAATATGTTTAAGGGAGAGATGTTCGAATTTTGTTGTGGTCTAAATACCTGCATTTAATTTGTGCATTTCTGTTTTGTGTTTTCCATAATCTCAGGAGTTCATTCAAGACGATCCCCAAAACCTCCCTCAGTCTCTGGTCAAAATAATGTCAGTGCTGCTGCTTTCAAAAACATGTCTCATTGCTTAGGACAAGCTTGCAGCACACTTGGGAGTACACTGTTTGAAGGTTACTGCCAGAAGTGTTTCATTGAGGCGCAGAATCAGCGTTATCAAGAGGCCAGGCATGCTGATGACCGTATGCTAAGGCTAACAGAGGTGAGAAAAAATATGAATACAGAAGTTATTTTTTTTGTTGCATTAGTATGTTGTTTGTTTTTTTACTGTATTTCAGTGCTTGAAATAAATGAGAATAATTCACAAATGTTACAGTGACTTTAGTGAACTCTAATCTGGCACAAATTGCTGGACTGTACCAAAAAGGACCAAATAGAAGTTACTTACCCTCTTTTAAAGAGTTTTTCAATGCACTGCTTAGTCAGCGAAGAGCATCTTATTCTGGTTTGTGGAAACAGTTTTTCTCACTTAATCCTCTGCACAGTAGGTTGTAATGGGATGAGTCATTTATCCTCAATAAGCAGTTCTAGTTATCACATAGGATGATTGGAAATGATCGATCAGCGGACAGTAGCCATACTATATGGCTTAGTGAACCAGGCTGTGTATTACTTTCGAAAAAGCTGCAGTTTAATGTCCAGATCTCTTTGCTGGGAAGAGAATGCATCCCATAGACATACAAATTAAAGACAAAATGAACACTGGCAACCCCAAGCGAACTGTTCTGGGTTGCCTGACTGGCTTTTTTTAACAGATTACTGCTGTTATAACCCATGCTCGGAAATAAACGTTTGCTCCTGGTTCTTCTAGCTTTATGCCCATTACAGTAGTGAAAGGTGCTTATGGTGCATGTACATTTAACTTTTTAAAGATAAACTGTTGCTTCCTATTTTTTTTTAATATTGTAGTTAGTTTAACAAAAAATGTTTTTGATTTCTGAAAAATAAAATCAACTAACTTTAGGAATCCACTCCTGTTTATCCTGCAAAAATGGTGCCTCCATCTTTGGTTTAGTTACATTATTCTGGTAAAGAAAGCCCAATGGTAATTAAATGAAGAATTTTTATGATCTACATTATTGCTTGTCAGCAATGCTGTACAGTAAAACAGAAAGACATACTGAAGTAAATATTGTATGATTTTCATTTTTTTTATTTTTAGAAGATGGGACAAACTAGGATTTCAAAGCATACAAACTCCCAGATGAAAATTTGTGCCCGAAGTCTCTGCAGCAACGCAGTAGTCTGCCGAAGTGAAGATGTCTGTGAACAGTGTAAGCATAGAAATGGTCACAAACCACCGTCAGGAGAAGACATTACAAAACAGCGATGCCACGCTCCAGGCTGTGACCACTATGGGAACAACAAGTGCAGTGGCTATTGCAATGAGTGCTACAAGTTTAAACAATTATACGGCTAGTGCAAACAAAAGGACTTTGTGTACTATATATTTCTAGAATTGGTGCTATCTTCAAAACACTTTTAGGATTTTCCCTGCTATAATATATGATAATGTCTCTTAACTGTTATTTGTTAATTTTGATTACTTTTAAATGTATCTATACAGTGTTTTGTGTAATTAATGTGGTTATATAAGTATGTAAATACATAAATGTATATACAATTACTAAACCTTATTTAAAATTAACATTTTTCTATCAGTTTTGTGCTCTCTCTTCTATTTAAAGTGTATTGGCTTTCCTCTCCCATTGGTTGTTTGTTGTTTGTTTTTGTTTTTTTTATTTCTTGTTTTTCTTTCCACAACAATTTCATATTTTGCCTATGTAATCTGGGGCAGCAGCACAGTTGAACAATTGTCCTATGCTTCTATTTATATTTATTAGCAAAGATAAAATTGTCTTCCATGCATAAGTACAGTTGTATGACTATCCTAGTTGGGTAATTAATAAATTAATGAAAATAGGACTGGAGTGACAGATAAACTAAAGAAAATATGCAATTTTACTGTCGATATAGTAGAACTTATAAATTTAAACTCTGTAAAACATAGTAGCTTCATATCGCTACATATTAGTCAATGATCATCTTCAGCTTGACAAAGACCCATTATTGGGTCGAAACATTGCTGCTTTGAACACTTGGTTCTAAAAAATGTGCCTCTTACTGAGCTCTGGAGTTCCCGGAACTTTTCTTTCCTGGATGATTTTCATGATTGTTTTATTAGATCTGTAACACAAAATGGTTGCAGGTCAAGCTGTCACATTAATGGAATTCAGTCAGCAATTATTGGTTTTATTTTGATATATGGGATACCTGTTCATGTTAGTAATAACATATACAGTATGCAACAGTTTGTGTTTCTTTAAATTCTCTGAGAAATAATACTGCGTTCAGAATTCTCATGACTACTTCTTTGATTCTGTTGGTTAAAAAGTCTCAAATGACCCATTATTTTATAATGGTTTGTGTTTAATCATACCACTGTGTGATATTTAGGAGCAAATCCAGATATCCCTGGCTTTGTGCAACAAGCAGTCGTAATCAAACATGGTCATTTGCCTATTATTCTGATTATGTAATATGATAAACAACTATGATTGACAGCATGATTCAATTAATCCTGAAGATACAATCTTTTTAGAAAAATGTTGTACATTCTAAGCACCATAACCACTACACTTTGGTATAATGGTTTTAATACTGCCAGTCTATAGGGACATTCCACTTTCTTTTATAAAACAGTTTTAGAGAAGTTTGACAATGAACAGGACTGCTGTACATGGCCACCTCTTTGATAATGCAGAATTTACACTTCTGTATTACGAATATTAATTCTACCTAACGTGCGTGGCAGTAAGCTGAGGGCTCAGAATTAACACTCTTTATGCAGGACAGAGGCAGCTATATGAGTAATGGCAAAATGGTGCCTTTGAGCAGGAAGTCCAATCTCTCATTCAGTAGCTTTAAGAAAATTACAACTCCCATGATTCCACTGGTACCAAAGGGTTGTAATCCATTGATAAGCTTGCTGGCATGAATTGTTTCTATCTTATTGATACATAATTGGATGCTCATGTAAATGAAATCAATTTTATTTAAATTTTATAATTAAGCATGGCCACAATATTAAATGCCTTTCAGAAGTGGAAGACATTGATTTGACTTTTACTGACACATTGAATCAAATGTGGAAAAAAAAATGTTTCAATAGATGTTACAAATATTAATTAGGAATAATACTTGCACTTTTACAATGTTTCCTGACACACCAAATATTATTATATAATAAATTATTTAAGAATATTAAGTTGCTGGTTTTATCTTCTTTCCTTTTAAATTTAAAGTGATATGTGTTTAGATATATGTAGCAGAACATTTAGTGACTGCATCTACCGCTAAGCCAGTTTTACAAATCCATTGTGGGCCAACATCATAGAGGTTTCATATACTTAAGAGGTTTATTTGATAAAACAGTGAGTTGCAGTGCAATCACAACTGAGTTACAAACTTTAAAGGGACACTATAGTCACCCAGACCACTTCAGTTCAATGAAATGGTCTGGGTGCCAGGTCCCTCGGGTTTTAACCCTTCACATGTAAACATAGCAGTTTCAGGAAAAACTGTTATGTTTACATAGCAGGGTTAACCCAACCTCTAGTGACTGTCTTCCTGACAGCCGCTAGAGGCGCTTTTGCGACACTGGATGCGAAATTCTCATCCAGCGTGCAGAACGTCCATAGGAAAGCATTGAGAAATACTTTCCTATGGACTGTTTGAATACACGCGCGCGGCACTTGCCACGCATGCGCATTCTGCTCCACTCGGGAGCTGACGGCGGGGGAGGAGAGGTCACCAGCGCCGAGGGAGCCCGGTGCTGGATTAAGGTAAGCTGGTGAAGGGGCTTTAACCCCTTCAGCCCAGTAGGAGGGGGAACCTGAGGGTGAGAGCCCATTAAGGATGACATAGTGTCAGGAAAACGGGTTTGTTTTCCTGACACTATAGTGATCCTTTAAGCAAAAAAAAAAAAAAAGGGATACAGTGGTACATCTTTAACAAAACTGTGTAATAAAGGCTGTAATCATTACATCTGTTTAATGACGTATCATTTGTGCACTTTGTAAAGATCCATTTATCCCTTGGTAACACTGTCTACTTATCTACTATTTTAACTAAATTATTTAAAAGTTACCTGGCACAACAATTTTACCACTTCAGATTCCTCAAAAATTTTTAAACATCCCTCAACCTTTCTTGTTTTTGAATTGGAAATGAGTATAAATATTTGAGTTTATTACTAATTTTATCAACTTCGTTACTAAACCAAATATATTTTGTATGCAAAGAAAATGAGGCAAACATTCTGGAGAGTGGTGCTAGAACCCACCCACCATAGCCTATATAGTTACATAAAACATCTATGTTGAAAAAAAGTCTCCAGTCTTATCAAGTTCAACCTTAAAAACCTTGTTTCTCAATCAGAGGTATGCATACCCTAAGCAGTATATGCAACAAAGGCAGGGGGTACGTCAAGAGCTGGCTGGCCAGCTACCTTAGCGCCCCTTAGGAAGCAGCCGACTGTGCATTTAGGCAGAGTAGGCACCTGCTGCACCTCAGTCCTATCTCTGCTACATGGACTCTTGGCTTTAAAATGGCGGACGCCTCGTGTCATATTGCCAGCAGCAGAGATCAGACTGGCCTTACCCATGCATAAACTTGGGCCTCCGCTGACATCCGGGACAAACTGGACTGAAGCCCGCAGCTACTGGTCAGGCAGGAGAGGAGTGACCACCAGCCCCTGTACTCACCGTCTAGGTCAGGGGTAGGCAACCTATGGCACTAGTGCCATGCACGGCACTCGAGGTGCCTTTGCACGGCACTCAAGGCTACAAGAGCCAAATAGGCTCTGGCCTGTCAGGGGTCCCAGTGAAACTTCAGATATCTGTAATACGAAAAGGTGGTGAAGGACAATCCTCCATTTATCAGATCACTTCCTCCCAGCACTTGTGAATGGGAATCCACACTGGAGTAGAGCAGCCCACAGCTTCCTGTTGTAGCTTCTGTCCTTGAGCTGTACCTGGCCAGCCTGGTCCCCACTAAAACCCAGGGAAGCCTCAGAGCTGCAGAATAACCCTCCCCTCATACAAATAAATCAAACACACACACAGTCCGCACATACACAACACCACCAACAATCCACATACATGCACACAACCCCACATGCAGCCTCTCACATGCCCCAAACAGCCCCACACATACTCACACTACCAAATACACAATGTGACATATCCATCCACACACACAATTCCACAAGTAGCCCCCATACACAGCCCAAATTCATAGGTATTATACATGATACCACAAACTATTAATGAACATATACAATATGATAGCTCATAAATGCACAAATACAACGATACAAAGCAAATGCAGTATAAATAACACAAGCAGAATATGGCAACATGCACACCTCAATTTAAAGAAATAGGACCGACACGCTACGGGACATCACAATCATATTTCGGCACAGTGCTGCTAAAAGGTTGCCTACCGCTGGTCTAGGTCATGGAGTGAAGCTAAGACTCCAACTGGAGAGGTGGCCCACGATAGATGGCAGCAGTCAACATGCTCCAAAATATCAGCCACAGTGAGCCGCACACCAAAAGGTCTTGGCCTATTTAGTCCTGCTTGGGCTGTGGCCCAGAAGAATTTCACACAGCTGAAAAGAACACAGTATTCACTATGCTGGCATAATGACAGTGCCTGGGTACGCAACCAACTGGCACTGGGCACATACAAGCAGCCAGGCCACACTGGGATTGTCCGGTGCCTCTGGAGTGTGACGGCTGAATCGTGACTCTGACAGCTGCTGGTTTCTATGTATGCCATCACTCTATCAAGCAGTTATTTAAAATTTACACAATTTAACCGTTCCTGTTTTAGTCATGCCTACATTTTTTTTTTTTTGGATGTGCAGCATTTCATTCCTCCAGCATAAGCACTAGGGTCCACGAGGCGAAACCATACCTTATCGCTTACAGTCAAGCCAGCCGGCACTTGATTACAGTCTCCCTGCCCCTTAACTATGATGCGCTGGTTTAAGATTTTCAGTTTTTAACCTATACTATTACTACTATAGTTTTGTTTATGACATGCCTTATCTTCATCACTTGCACCTCAAGCTTTGTCAATTCATGTAGTCAAGGGCAAATATGACAGTCTAATAGCAGTGTTTCCAGCTCCAGCCCTTGAGTCCTAGTTTCTGTTATGTAAAAATAAAAAAATGTGCAATATCACTTCAATGCCACTTAATTGTCAAACTAAGTCTTATGAAATGGTTGCTATGGTTGTTGTGTGAAACAGCAAGCTAGTTTCTATTACAATGCACAACATAAATAAAGAATACTTTATTTTTTATGTAAATCCAAAGGAAAGAAAACACACATTGAAGCCAATTATACCACAAAAGGAAAGAAAATATTTATTATTGATTCCATAATCGCAATCAGATTTCTCCTTGGATCAACAACCTGTTTACAAACATATTATTATAAACTTGAATATTCTCTTGGCTATTTTTAAATCCCTTTGAACAGATAATTCCACATATATAGTGTTATTAATGTAAAGAGCCCTTTCATCTTCTGTAAGCAAAAATACCTTTCTTCCAGTCTCAATGGATGACCTTGCATTTGTTGTACGTTTCTTCTAGTGCTATAATATACCATCTGAAACAACTTTTTTCTAAAGAAAACATGCAGGCTAGTAGCTAAGAAGTCTAGTTTATGAGGAGTATATTTTTGATTAGCCTCTTCCTCCAACTTCCCCAGATTTTAGGACTTAAAGGATCTGCTGCTAATATGTATGTGCCAGATTCCACAGGAAACATTTAGATGTCTTGTGGAGTCCGTGATGCATTAGAGCTATTTTAGCAACATGAGGAGGACCTACAGAATATTAGGTTGGTGGTTTTAATGTTGTGGCTGAATTATTAGTTTATGCATGATTTATAATATAATATTATTATTTTGAAGAATATTGTTGATGGTGTAATAAGACTTTTTGCCATAAGTGACCTTTTTTAACGTGTTTCCCATTTAAGGACATTTTCTTTAATGGGGGGTAAATCATTTTACTTTGTGATTTCCCTTTTTGGCAGAGATTGAGGAGGGTTTTTACTTTGAAGAAAGTGCATTTGGTGAAGTGTGCTCTTTTGGGATTAATCATTTTGTGATCCCTTTGCCAGTGGCGATTTAGGACCATATTTACCTTTAAAAAGGTTGGGCGCAAGGCACCTGTGATTACGTACACACTGTCACTCCAAATGCATTAGGTTTCTGGGCTGTCTGCGGTATTGACTCCTTGTTTGGCATGGATTTGAGGTGTAAAAAATAATGATTTGGATACTGCAGTTCTGGTCTTTTATGCAAACTTGCAGAGGAGAAGTTCTCCATGGCCGGCAAAGGGGTTTAAACTTACCTTTTTCCAGTGCTGGGCGGAGAGCTCTCCTCCTTCTCTCCTCCTCCGTTCCGCCCCGTCGGCTGAATGCGCACGCGCGGCAAGAGCTGCGCGCGCATTCAGCTGGTCACATAGGAAAGCATTCATAATGCTTTCCTATGGACAGGGGAAGGCTTAACCCATTAATAAACATAGCAGTTTCTCTGAAACTGCTATGTTTATAAAAAAAAAATGGGTTAACCCTAGAAGGACCTGGCACCCAGACCACTTCATTAAGCTGAAGTGGTCTGGATGCCTAGAGTGGTCCTTTAATTTTTTTCCACGTGAACTATTCAGTCTGTGGATTTATATTTCCTGCAATAATTGACTGTGCAAATTCAATTTCAATAGTGTTCATTGTATTACCAGTTCTAGAGATGGGGTGCAGCCAAACATCTGATGTAGAACTAAATCTCATATGACTACAGAAATATTATTTTGGCACCCCATGGATTCTTACATATTTTAATAAAATAGTACTTCCTCCATAGTTGGTAAAACATTTATCCACAAATTATTTGCACAGATAGTGTGTTATTTAATGACACCTGTCCAAAATTGCTCACAGTCACATAGATTCAGTTTTTTGTTAAAAAAAAAAAAAGAAACAAAAAAAACTCCAGTGTCTTCAGAGATTTGAACATCCACCCTACTAATTTACAATGTTCCAGTCTTACTTGTCAAAAACTCCAGACTTCTAATATTGAAAAACTACCTACAAATGCCTTTCACAGACTACCCCGCCATTTTCCCTCAAGTGAATGTTTCATAAGCTCAAAGGAAAGTATGCTCCACACCAATAAGTAGACTGTTTGATTCTTTCTAAACATAGATACTTATCGTGGGTGAACAGGAAATGTGACATTTAACCAAAATTTTAGTATGAACTGATCAGTAGTAAAAGCTTTCCCTGGTAAACTACACATCTTAATTGAGTAATACAATATTACTGTATAAAGAGTATCTGCTAAACAAATTACATTAGTCAAGTTCAGTATAATCATGTTCAGGACGTTTTGATGTACTTACAGAATAAAATGTTGTTAGGTATAAAACTATATTTAAATGTCAGTATAATACAGAGAATGGCAAATATTTAAAAAGTTGTAATCATAATGTATTAATATACATTTAAAATTACATTTAAACACTTTGACATTGGTATATAATATGAATACTGTAGTTTGAAATTGACCTTCCCACCTTTTCATACACCAAACACTATATAAACAACGTATTAAAAAATATAACAATGCTAAGTGGCAGGCAGACCTTTTCCATGCCAGTAAGTGGCTCCATCAAACAGATGCCTCTAAATATGATCTATAGGGTTTTTTTTTAAATTTCATAAACTCCTTACCTATAGAGGTTTAAAGCATACATAGTCTACCCAAGCAGTCACACTTCGAATTGTAATATCATGGGTGCTATTACTTTATATAGCCTAGTTCACAGTTTTGTGAACCTGGATATGTGCAACAATCTACCTGTGGGTTTTCAACCAAACAGCAGGGAGAAGAAAAGTAAGATCTGTTCAAGTTGTGTGGCTGCTGAGTAAAAAAAAAATCCTTATTTGACTTTAGCAAACCAATATCTGCCCTATTCATCTCAAAGCAAAATGTTATATCCCTTATTTCATCCCCTGCACAGCAACCCAAATGTCTAGAGTTTTTATTCCTGCCTCCATCCCCAGGTACTACTCTCAACCTAAGATTTGGCACAACTCTTTAACCCCTTAAGTTCCAAACTTCTGGAATAAAAGGGAGTCATGACATGTCGCACATGTCATGTGTCCTTAAGGGGTTAAACTACAATAGATGTTGGCAAAACATCTTTCCATACAATATAATCAGTGTTATCCAGCCATTCCCCACAACCACAATAAATGTTTTAATCAATTTACTGAAAATGAGGTCCTGTAATCAGGAGGATATCTAGAGCATTTGGCACCCGGGGTGATCCTGTGTTTGGCACCCCCCTCCCCCCCCACTTTAAAATGTATAAAACACCTACAATATTTTTAAAATGTCCTGCCCACTTCTACAAAACCTTTCTCCTGCCGTTCTATAAAACAAATGTCCTGCCCCAGTTCTACGAAACCCCTGCTCAGCCCCCATTATACAAAATCCCTGTCCCCTTCTACAAACTCCTGCACCCACTTCCATAAAAATCCTGTATCCCCCTTCCCCCAAAAAACTGCCTCTCCCTCTAAGTCCCTGCTCAGCCCCTTACAATAAAATAACATTTTCACACAACAATATTAGCAACTGTCTTCACTGTCAGTGCCAGTCCAAGGCACATAGGCTCACAGTTACAGGCACGCACGCACACACACACACACACACACAAACAGTTACAGGCAGACAGTGACACACACACACAGTCACAGGCAGACAGTCACACACAGATTCACAGGCAGTCAGTCTCACACACACACACACAGATTCACACATACACAGTTACAGGCAGGCAGTCACACACACACAAACACACACAGATTCACAGGCAGTCACACAGACACAGTTACAGGCAGACAGTGTCACACACACACACATACACACACAGTCTCTCTCTCAAAGTCAGCTTGGGCTGGAGGAGGAGTGGATTCAGTCCCTGTTGGGGAAGCAGGGACTCCTTGCTTCCCTTCAATGGGCAGCAATAACAGCAGTGGGTGGAGGCTGTATTTAAGTCTGCACCCGCTGCAGTGGCTCTGCCTCCAATTAGCCCAATCACTGTTTTTCTCACATGTGGCGGTTTTGAAGTTCTGAGCTTCCTGTCCCTGAATGTGTGAGCTGTGCAGCTGCCATGGCAACCTGTCCCTGCCACACAGCTCACACATCCTAAGGTCGCTCTGGTCATGGCACGCCCCTAGTGAGTGGCACCCGGGGAGGACCGCCCTTCCCTCCCCCCCATAGTACCCCACTGCCTGTATCAAGCAGGGAGGGGGGACAAAAAATAAATAAATAATAAAAAAAAATAATATTAAAATAAAAAAATTAAATATTAAAATTAAAAAAATGTAAATAATAAAATTAAAAATAATAATATTAAAATAAAAAATTAAATATTAAAATTAAAAAATTTTTAATAATAAAATAAAAAATAATAATATTAAAATAAAAAAATTAAATATTAAAATAAAAATTTAATTATTAAAATATATATTTTTTTAATAATAAAAATGCCCTCCCCCCACCCAGTTCACACACACTACACACACACTACACACACACACACATACAAACACACACTCATACAAACACACACTCTGCATTATATACACACACACTCATACAAACACACACTCTGCATTATTAACACACACTCAAACAAACACGCACTCATACAAACATACACTCTGCATTATATACACACACACACACTCATACAAACACACACTCTGCATTATATACACACACTGTGCATTATATACACACTCTGCATTATATACACACACACTCTGCATTATATACACGCACAGTGTGCGTATATAATGCAGAGTGTGTGTTTTTGTATGAGTGTGTGTGTATATAATGCAGAGTGTGTGTTTGTATGAGTGTGTGTGTATAATGCAGAGTGTGTGTTTGTATGAGTGTGTGTGTTTGTATGAGTGTGTGTGTATATAATTATAAAAATCACAGAATTTCATAGCCCCAAGTTTTACCCTCGACTTATCCACGAGGCATAGCATATTTCACAATTGTTGGTCATAAAACTGCACTCGACTTATACATGAGATCGACTTATACACAAGTATATACGGTATATACATCACAATGAGAACTCCTAGCACATATGCCCAAGAGTGAAAAATCTGTGTGCATCCAAGTGTGTGACTGACTCACTACACACTTACTGAGAGCTATCAGTAAGCTCCTAAAGCTATCTCTGGACCATTCCAGATTGGACCAAGACAGTGAATACCTACCCACTGGCAGAGATTTTACTGCCTAGATGCTATAAGTTGGAGCTACTATCAGCTCCACACACTGGTAGTGCAATTCCATTTCTCCAATTTTTTTAACCCAACTACTAGCATACTAACACCATTGTGGCAGACAACCTGGTACCCCGACTGGGTACCTCCACCATACACGCTTCCTAGCTATTGCTGGGACACCATAAGCACTTTCAGCCCCTTAGCCACCACAGCTTGGCTGGGGTCTCATCATCTCTTCCCACCCTGGATCCGAGTCCTGGATCCAGCTCCCAGTGGTCAAAGCTCTCCTCCAGAGAGTATAGCTGTATAGTAGTTATTATAGCCAGTATAGCATTCCCCCCACACTGAACTGTTTAATGTAGGCACAGTCACATAATTTATGCACACAGTAAACTCCTCCCCTGTGCCTGAGAGATAATTGAGTCAGGAACTGTACAAACTCAATTATCTCCAGGTTCAGAAAAACATACAATTTTGAAACACCACAAAATTACCCCCAAAATCACATCCCCGGATAGCCCTGATCTGAGTTTCCATCATATCCAAAAATCACTCAGATCGGTTCAGTGGTTTGGATTTTCCATGGAAGTCAACTTTTGACCGACCACATACATGGCTTCTGTCCAAGTTAGTTCCATAAGAAAAGTGTCAGCGGTCGGTCAATTACGGGAGTTTCAATCAAACAAAATATCGAACCGATCTCTGGCTCCTAGGTAGCGATTATATGCCTAGTTCATGCAAACAATCCTACCGACTGGCACTCTCCTGACATGAATAGCAATAAAGCAGGCTTCATCAAAGTTCAGCAGTGTTCGCGAGTTAAAGTGTCCAATTTTAGTTCCATGAACTCGACAACAAAACACCACTGCCTGCGTTCGTGCGAACAAGATGGCCGCCAACTCAATTCCCATATGTTCGTGCATACGAACGATGGCCATCCAGCTGCAAACTTAGAATCCATGATGATTGAGGTGTCAGGAGAGGTCAATAGGGATTAACAAGCAGAGAGGTGGTCAGCAGTTTGTGGATTTGTTCGGTTCCTGAACAATAAAGGGAAACCACACGAACAAAGTCTTTTAACAGGTCTTTTACATGGCCCATAGTCCTTGGGCAGGAGGCTAGCCAGCAGGCTCCTCCAGGAGCTCGTGGCAGAGGCATTTTTGCCACAACTATATTTTGCACTCTGTCCTCTTCTCATTACATACTACCACACTGACTGGGACTTGAGGATTCCCTTTACACAATAACCATTTGTGACTAGAAAGGAGAGACTTTGGCTTGGGTTGTTTGTTTCAGTTGCCTACTTGATTACCTAACAGGTGCTAGAAACATATTACCCCCTACTACACTCCACCTTCTGAGTTCTGAATAACACTGCACCCCTTTTTATTTGTCCTTATCTTTATATACTCACTCATTCACCCCTCTCTGTTCTACCCAGAACATTTGTCTTTCTTCTGCTTTCTTTAATTCCTCCCACTCCTGTCTCCAACACTTTGCCTGTGCTGCTCTGTACCACTGAAATCCTTATCTTGCCTTTTCAGACTTTCCTCAATGTTCCACACCCACATCCTACTAGATTATATACTTGCAAGAGCAAATCTGTCTATCATTTTGTACCAGTAGTAATGTTTATACTATGAAAAACTTTGTGTAATGTCAGTTAAATATTTACTTGTCTGTAATAGTGCTACCTAATGTGCTAGCACTAAATCAAAATAAATAATAAGAACAATACTACCAATGCCCTTCCTAATGTCATACTTTCATTCATCATCCTAAAATTATTCAAAAAGGAACCATAATGGTGTAAACGGAACATTACAAGAGGAGAACTTCACAGGACAGACTTCACAGCGATCTTGCGTACATCAGATTTTCAGACTAAAAGAGATGTGTGTGTTGTGGATCAGAATGTTGCTCTTTGTTATATTCAGAGGAAGCCCAAATTGTTGTTACAAGTGCACTTGGAGAAGCGATAATTAGACACCAGACACCTGTTGGTATTCAAAATAAGCCTCTGCCGTTTTATTAATCAGCTGGGTTTTATACATTAAAAAGTAAGTGCTTACGTGCAAATACTCATAGAACAGTAATAGGAAGGGAGTACAGATAAGACATAGGGATGAACGTCATGTACACATAACAAATAAGTTCCAAGGTAAGAAAGAACAAAAAGATTAGAGAAGAGACATCTCAGGTGGGGGCTCTCTGCTCCCGGAGCTAGACATATATGGTCTTAAGTGTTGTTTAAAGCGGCACTGTCATGCCGAACTTACCTTTCCTCAATCTCTTCCTCTTCTCCCCCCCTCTCAGGATCTGTTATTCTTTTCTTCCTATCTTCTTTAGTTTTCTTTAAAATCATAAGACAAAGTAGGGACTCTTTGCCTTATGGAGGATTCCTCCGCTTGACCAGCTCTGACCAGCGGAGGAGCAAAGTGTGCTTCATTTCCGCTGGTCAGAGCAATTTTCCCATGATCCCTAGCTTTCCTCTGTGTTCCCACAATGCTTCCTGTCACTTTCCACAAAACTGCCGAATTGCGTTCTAACTGAATGAGAACAGTATGTTCGTTTCTTTTAGAACGCAATTCGGCACTTTATTCGGATCGGAATTTCACTCTAATGAATGAAACTCTGATCCTATTCTTGCTGTGGCTGCATTTTGCAGCCGCTTAGTAGATAACTCCCTAATTCCCACGGTATCAGGGAGCTATCTACTAAAAGGCTGAAAGACCTAAATTGGTCTTTCAGCCACATTTACTAATACTAAGTAAAGATTACTTAGTATTAGTAAATTAAATGCCCCTACTCGCTATACCGCGAGTAGGGGCATGTCTGGTAAACAGTGAGCAGCCTGTGGCTGCTCACTGTAAAAAAAACTATTGGCCCCCACCCCTAAACCACGGGTGGGGGCCCTAAAATAAAATAAGGGGGGGAGACCTACTGCCCCCCCCCGGCCCCCACCCCTGGGCGGCGGGTGGGGGCCCTACTGCCCCCCCCCCGGCCACCACCCCTGGGCGGCGGGTGGGGGCCATAGTGAGAATTAGGGGGGACGACCTACTGCCCCCCCCCGGCCCCTACCCCTGGGCGGCGGGTGGGGGCCATAATGAGAATGGGGGGGGACCTACTGCCCCCCCCCGGCCCCCACCCCTGGGCGGTGGGTCCATGAGAGAATTGGGGACCTACTGCTCGCCCCCCACCCTGGGCGGGTGGGGGCCATAATGAGAATGGGGGGACCTACGCCCCCGCCCCCACCCCTGGGCGGGGTGGGGGCCATAGTGAGAATTAGGGGGGGGACCTACTGCCCCCCCCGGCCCCCACCCCTGGGCGGCGGGTGGGGGCCATAATGAGAATGGGGGGGGCCTACTGCCCCCCCCCGGCCCCCACCCCTGGGCGGCGGGTGGGGGCCATAGTGAGAATTAGGGGGGGGACCTACTGCCCCCCCCCGGCCCCCACCCCTGGGCGGCGGGTGGGGGCCATAATGAGAATGGGGGGGACCTACTGCCCCCCCCGGCCCCCACCCCTGGGCGGCGGGTGGGGGCCCTAGGTCAATTACCCCCCCAAGGTGACTAGGGGTCCCCAAGCCCCTAGTCACCCACCCCCCACCCAAAAAAAACAAGTCCCTACCTACCCCCCTCACCCTAAAAAATAGTGAGGGGGGATAAAATAACTAACCTGTAAAATAAAATTAAACTTACCATTCGACGTCTTCTTTTTTCTCAAATCTTCTTTTTTCAGCCCCAAAAAAGGCCAAATAAAAAACCATCATAACCGTCGCCCCCCATTCTCATTATGGCCCCCACCCGCCGCCCAGGGGTGGGGGCCGGGGGGGGGCAGTAGGTCCCCCCCCTCATTCTCACTATGGCCCCCACCCGCCGCCCAGGGGTGGGGGCCGGGGGGGGGCAGTAGGTCCCCCCCATTCTCATTATGGCCCCCACCCGCCGCCCAGGGGTGGGGGCCGGGGGGGGCAGTAGGTCCCCCCCATTCTCATTATGGCCCCCACCCGCCGCCCAGGGGTGGGGGCCGGGGGGGGCAGTAGGTCCCCCCCATTCTCACTATGGCCCCCACCCGCCGCCCAGGGGTGGGGGCCGGGGGGGGCAGTAGGTCCCCCCATTCTCATTATGGCCCCCACCCGCCGCCCAGGGGTGGGGGCCGGGGGGGGAGTACTGCCCCCCCCTCATTCTCACTATGGCCCCCACCCGCCGCCCAGGGGTGGGGGCGGGGGGGAGGACAGTAGGTCCCCCCACCAATTCTCATTATGGCCCCCACCCGCCGCCCAGGGGTGGGGGGAGTACTGCCCCCCCCTCATTCTCACTGTTTAGGGGTGGGGGCCAATAGTTGTTTTTTTGTTTTTTTGTTTTTTACAGTGAGCAGCCACAGGCTGCTCACTGTTTAGTGGACATGCCCCTACTCGCGGTATAGCGAGTAGGGGCATTTGGGAGATTTTAATCTCCCTTGTGCTATTATGGGGGTCATATTGACCCCCATAGAGTGAGAGGGGACCTGGGGGGGCTTATGAAGTGGTGGGGAGCACTGCTCCCTGCCGCTTCTATAGTTACATATTACAAGGAGGGAGCTGCATGCCGGTAGCTCCCTCCTTGTAATAACCTGCACGAACAAACTAACACTGATACATTGTGTTTGTTTGTTCGGCTGATCTTTCTATTCACTCATTCGTCTGTCTGATGAATGAATGAATAGCTGAAATTCCCGTTCGCATGTCCAGGTGTTTCACTGGGCATGTGCGGGAATCTCACAGTCTGCCTAGTGTGGGCTGATGACGTGTCCCACAGGGACTTCACCTACCCACACAAAGATGGCTGCGCCCTGAATATAGATCGGGGCAGAAAATAAGGATTTAAAAATAGGTAATGTGGGGGGCTTAGGGGCATTTGGGGGTGACTAGTGGGTCAATTGGATGTAGTGGAGGCGGGAGGGGGGTTAAAAAAAAAACAGAATTCGGCATGACAGTGCCGCTTTAAGCATCAAGCATTTCCTGAGTCCAAGTTAGCCAATTTTAATATAGGATATCATTATATGACACCTATAAGCTTGAGCCTTGGAATCAAGATAAATTCTATCACATGTGTGGTCTAGGTTTAGGCTGTCACCAATATCTAGCATTTGCTATTTTTTCTTTTTGGTTATAGCATTCACTGCAGCTGGAAGAAAACCTTTACAAATTTGGGGTTATAATTATCATATTCCATGAATTGCAATCAGAGGAAGAACTAATGTAGTTAGGATCCTAATGCAAGAAATTCTTGTTGCCCCCTTCTACCGCAGGGGTGGCCAAAAGGTAGAACTCCATCTTTCGTACAACTCCAACTATGCTATGCCAGCTGGGCCAATACCATTTGTCTATCCTTGCAGGATTGTATTTATGAGCAGTGTTTGTGTGTTTGAATGTAAGCATGTTTTTGTATGGAGTATGTGTCTGTGCTTGTAGGAGTGTATTTGTATGTACTGCTGCCACTGGAATTATATGTAATATTTGCTTTTGAATGCAGGAGTGTATTGTATGTAGTGTTAGCTTTTAAATGCAGGTGCACTTTGTGTGTAGTGTTGGTGATTGAATCAAGGGCAGTTTTTATATAATTTTGTCATTTTAATACAGGGGTGTGTGTGTTTGTAATGCTTGCCTATAAATGCAGTGGTGTGTGTGTGTGTATGTAGTGTAGTAATGTATTGGTGTTTATATGAATGGGTTAGTTTGCATATAATTTTGGTGTTTGACTGCAGGGGTGTGGTTGTATGTAATGTTTGCTTTTATTTTAATGGTGAATTTGCATGCAGGGTTGGCGTTTGCTGGAATGTAGGCACATATACATACAAATGTACACAGCTGCACATACACATTGACACACACACAGATACACACACTGACACACACATAGATACACACACTGACACACACACAGTTACACACTGACACATATGCATGAACACAGATACACAATGACATACACACAGATACATACTCAAACGCACACACATGACATACACACACTGACACACACACACTGACAGTCAGATACATCCATAATTACATACCAACACACAAACACACACTTACACACTTACATAGAGACACATGCATACACAGATACACACATCTTAATTTTTATATTTTTAACTACCCTTTTTTGAGATGAAGAATGCAGGAAAAGGAAAGCATGACACAGACTAAATAGGACAAATAAAAGGCAGTCATACAATGTTCCTGACAAGACAAGTCACAGGAAAAATAATCCAAGAAACCTGCCAATCATTTCTAGGGAGATGCTTCCTCTGTAGATTCCAGATTGTAAAAAGGCCATAATGTCCTCTTTTTCCTGTAAATTAATCTTCTCTAGTTGAAATTACATATATTTCTCATTCACTCAGTTAATGGAAGATGCTGACATGGTATAAATAAAAATAACAATTTTAGGGAGCACAAATTATTTTCATATGTGATACATAGTAACAATAATAATAATTGATAATGCAGAACCAATATCATTTCTCTAGTTAGAATAGTTCAAAATTAGTTTTTTGTTCAGACACAGTTTTAATTTGTATTTTATTTAAGAATTCAATTGAAATGAAAAATATAAAATAAAATAATAAATAATTGAAAAAATTAAATAAATAATAAAAAACACAAATTGTGACAGAGTGTTGGGAATGGTGGTCAGGGGTGTATATCTGGCACCCAGACTTTTGCGCAGCCACTATCCTGACATGTGGGTAAGCAAGTTTAAGTTTAAATGTAGGTTTTTTTTCAAATTGATATTTGGGTTCCTGGGGTGGAGTATTCAGAAGAGCAGGGTGGGCCGATTTCAACCCACTGTCAGAGTGGCTGTGCATGAGTCCAGCCCAGGTTTTCTGAGGAGTTCTGGCTCACTGCCTAACAAGGTAATTAGCCTCACCTAAAGCAGGGTTAAAGCAGGGTGGAGTGAGGGAAGTGTTTTGTGGAGAAAGAAGGTTTTCTGCTGGTTGTATCCTGTTACATAGTTACATAGCTGAAAAGAGACTTGGGTCCATCAAGTTCAGCCTTCCTCACATTTGTTTTTCATCCAAAAGAAGGTAAAAAAAACCCAGTTTGAAGCACTTCCAATTTTTCAACATGCTAGGGAAAAAAATCCTTCTTGACCCCAGAATGGCAGTCAGATTTATCCTTGGATCAAGCAGTTATTACCCTACATTAAAAGATTATATCCTTGAATATTCTGTTTTTGCAAGTATGCATCTAGTAGCTGTTTGAACATCTGTATGGACTCTGATAAAACCACTTCTTCAGGCAGAGAATTCCACATCCTTATTGTTCTTACAGTAAAAAATCCTTTCCTTTGCCTAAGACGAAATCTTCTGTCTTCCAATCTAAACACATGACCTCGTGTCCTATGTAAAGTCTGGTTTGTGAATAGATTTCCACACGGTGGTTTGTATTGGCCCCGAATATATTTGTATAATGTTATCATATCCCCTCTCAGGCGACGTTTTTCTAAACTATATAGGTTTAAATTTGTTAACCTTTCTTCATAGCCGATATGTTCCATTCCTTTTATTAATTTTGTAGCCCTCCTCTGCACTTTTTCTAGTGCCATAATATCCTTCTTTAGAACAGGTGCCCAAAATTGCACAGCATATTCAATATGTGGTCTTACCAGTGATTTATAAAGAGTTACAATTATATTCTCGTCTTGAGAATGAATGCCCTTTTTCATGCATGACAATACCTTACTGGCCTTGTTTCCTGTTGTTTCCTGTTGTATCCTGTTGTATCCTGTTACTTCTTAACAACAGAAAATAAACAGGCCGGAGGCCTTTGAAACTGGATTTTGTCTTGACCTGGCTTCCTTGCCCTTGAGGGCTGTGCAGTTGCCAAAAGGTCCTGGACAAACGCACACAGAGAAGTAATTTTGTCACAAAATAAGTCAAAATAGACATGTATGGGGCCAAATAGGCATTTCTTCATAAAAGCAGCATAAACATGATCTTCATCCTGTACAATAAAAGATTCCTGCTACGTGTCATTCCGGTAGCTCTCCCTTAGGTCAGTATCTAAGCTTAGGGTCAGTAAAGAAAGGGATAAGTGACCATTTGCATAACAATTGTATCCAAATAAGGGCAACCAAATAAGTGGTTTAATGCATATATTTTTGCTTTTTATTGTGTTTGAAAATGTTATTTATATTATATAGTTCATGTATTAATTTGAATTGCTTAATGGCTATATGTTCTTTATATGTGTATTTTGTTATAGTTGTCACAGCAATCTAAATGTTATTAGCATATGGGCTAGTGTAGCGGAACCTGGGTTACCTGGCTGGTTATCCCTTCTTGTAATGATAGGTCAGACCCATTTCCTCAGTAACCGGACGGGACACAGTTCCAGGATACAATCTTCATTTAGGCACACAGCTTTTCATGCACAGACCCCCGCAGGGGGTCTCCATTCAACACAACACATACACATTCAGGAGGGGGCTGGGGTAGATAACCATCTCCCGCTCTTGGAGATACTAACTAGACACAGGGATATGCATGCATACATTTTACATTCAAAGGGTTACACTTTGGGGCTCGGTGCCCTGGGACAGGAAGGGGTTATAGGGTTAACACTTGCATAGCTAAATAGCACTGGGTCCCCTCTAGAACTCCTGCAAAAAGCTGGTAATTGGATGTACAGAGCAGGAGATATCAGCCTTTGAAAGTCTAGGGCTCAAGGCTCTATACATCCCCGAAAGTAGTTATATGGTGTTTCTTGGTTTAGATGTGAGGTTGGTTTTTATATATATCTTTGGCTTATTATTGGGTCACTTAAGGGAAGTGGCCAATGTTTTGTGACCTGCTTTAACATTTACTCATGTACTATTTTGGATGTCCCTACTTGTACTAATAATTATTTCAACCTATCACAGCTGCCTATTGCTTGTATGAGTTGGCGTGTTTAAGACAGTTTGCATTCTTTGTTTTAGCTATACCTTTATATGGGAGACAGACTGTGGGTCCCTAGGGATCCTCAGTCAGTGTTAAAGTGCTCTAAATTGGTTTAATGGACTTGAGCTACAGTGCCACGTTACTCAAGGCAATATAATAAAATCAATGAGATGACATGGTTATAGTTTCCCTTTTATTTTTTTAGCCCTCCTCAATACTTTTCCAGTACTATAATGTCCCTCTTTAAAACCAGTACCAACAATTTCACTGCAATTAAAAATATTTATTTAGACGAAAAGTTCTGAAATGTATATAATAGTGTGTTTGTGCTCGGTTCTCAGATTATGCAACAAAACTGGTGTCCAAAAGCTTATTTTCCTCTGTGTCAAAATATTATTATTATTATTTTATTATTTATATAGCGCCAACAAATTCCGTAGCGCTGTACAATGGGTGGACTAACAGATACATAATTGAGATCAGACCACTGATGTACAGGAACAGAGGGGGTTGAGGACCCTGCTTGATGAGCTTACATGCTAGAGGGAGTGGGGTATAGTGACACAAAGGGTTAAAGTAGGGGAATTAAATAGTTTGTTACAGAAGGGTTTATTGAGTGCTTGGTAGGTCATTTTTAACACATAATTATTTAATTTTTTACGATAAATTTTACTTTGACAGGAAACGCTATGGGTACAGCCTGTGATCCTAGCTACACCATCCTGTTCCTGGGTTGGTGGGAAAAATGTGTGTGTTACTCTCCACCCTACACTCCTTATCAAACATTTATCCACAAATGTTACCGTTACATAGATGATATATTGATTATATGGACAGGCTCAATTCCTCACTTTGAACAACTGGTTGAACAATGAAATGAGAATGATATCAACCTTAAATTGACTCATATAATTGCCGAAACAATTATGATCTTCTTGGACTTCAAGACCTTATTAGAGGAAGATGGCACAATCCATACCCAACTTTACAGGAAATCGACATCCACAAATAGCCTGTTACATTCGACTAGCCATCATCCATGTCAAGTAAAATCTTCCATTCCTTATTGACAGTACCTACAAGCACGTAGAAACTGTTTGGATAATGATAGTTTTCTAAAAGAATGTATAGACCTATACTCTAGGTTCAAAGACTTTGGTTACCCTAATAGAGTGGTGAAACCAACAAGCAAGCCTAAAAGACAGATCAAAGATTTTGAGTAACTCAAGACAAATTGAAAGTCTACCCCAAACAAGATGCATTGCAACTTTCGATGCAGGTCTGTCCACCATGACAGAAATCGTAACTAAGAACTGGCCAATACTGACTCATAAAACAATACTGAAAGAATCCCTGCCAACACATTCCAGTATAACAACACGGAGATCTAAAAATCTAATGGACACTTTGGTTCACAGTCATCTAAGTAGAAAAAAAACAAAGCCACCCACACTTGGCTAAATGACACCAAAGGTACCTATCGATGCGGACATTGCAAGGCCTGACAGTTTATCAAACTTACCAAACTCACAATGTCAAACCAATCAGGCATAGAACTAATTTATCTCATCACGGGCTCTTGTGATAAACAAAAAATACATTCGCAAGACCTTTCAGCAGTTTAGAAGAAGAATTCTTCAGCACATTAGATCTTTTACTAATCCTAGCATCCTTACCCTTATGTCATCAATTTTCATGCCAGAGATACCAAACACCTAACTTTTCAAGCAATAGAAAAATTACTACCTAACCCTAGAAAAGGTGACTTCAACAAGCAATTGCTATAGAGAGAATCTCAATGGTTATTTAGATTCCAAACCCTATCATCCTTAGGCTTAAATGAGGAATTTAATTATACCTCATTTATTCATAAATAATAACGACACAACCTTGGAATTAATCTTTTTAACACTGAATTCACTCTTCGTCCTTCTTTCATTCTCATAATTAATCAATCTCTTTAATTATCAATTTGTATTGTCATATCATCTAGATCAAAGACATTTAATATTACAGACCAAGTCAAGAATAGTTCCTTCATGAGACCACATCTTTCCTTTTAGCCTTCCCCCTCTCTTTCCCCCACTCTCCCCTTGTTTTATTACAGATAAGACTTATTTCTTCAACTAACTTCTGATTTGTAGCGTAATGCTTTATTTAGAAACATAGAATGTGACGGCAGATAAGAACAATTCGGCCCATCTAGTCTGCCCAATTTTCTAAATACTTTCATTAGTCCATGGCCTTATCTTATAGTTATGATAGCCTTATGCCTATCCCACGCATGCCTAAACTCCTTTACTGTGTTAACCTCTACCACTTCAGCTGGAAGGCTATTCCATGCATCCACTACCATCCATGCTTGTTAAACATTTGATCCTCTAATTTAAGACTATGTCCTCTTGTTGTGGTAGTTTTTCTTCTTTTAAATATAGTCTCCTCCTTTACTGTGTTGATTAATTTTATGTATTTAAATGTTTCTATCATATCACCCCTGTCTCTTCTTCAGCTATACATGTTAATTTCCTTTAACCTTTCCTTGTAAGTTTTATCCTGCAATCCATTAACCAGTTTAGTAGCCCTAACTCTTTCTAAAGTATCAATATCCTTCTGGAGATAAGGTCTAAAGTACTACACACAATACTCCAAGTAAGGTCTCACCAGTGTTCTGTACAATGGCATGAGCACTTCCCTATTTCTACTGCTAATACCTCTCCCTATATAACCAAACATTCTGCTTACATTGTCTGCCTACCTTTAAGTAATCAGAAATAAACACCCCTAAATCCTTTTCCTCAGATGTTGAGGTTATGACTCTATTAAATATTCTGTACTCTGCCCTTGGGTTTTTACATCCAAGATGCATTATCTTGCACTTATCCACATTAAATGTCAGTTGCCACAACTCTGACCATTTTTCTTGTTTACCTAAATCATTTGCCATTTGGCTTATCCCTCCTGGAACATCAACCCTGTTACATATTTTTGTATCATCAGCAAAAAGACATACCTTACCATCAATACCTTCTGCAATATCACTAATAAAAATATTAAAGAAAATGAGTCGAAGTACAGATCCCTGAGGAATTATTATCCATAATCTAATTTTAAATTTTATCAATACTATTAATCACTAGCTAATTATAAAGATTAAATCTCGTAGCAATCTATCTTATTCTAAGTAATTTAATTCCCCGATTAACTAAACACAGTTCATATAATCTCATTTTCATACCGATATGATAATGAATACTATTCATTAATAGAGACACTTTAGAATTATTATTCAAATGATCTTACTTTAAAATTTATCAAAATTATTAATCTCGAACTAAGCACATAAATTAAATATCATAGTAATCTATTTCATTCTAAGTAATTTAATTCCACCAATTAATCAAACACTGTTTATTCAATCTCAATTTCATACCAATATGGTACTTTTTTCACTGGATTTTCACAATGATTAGACATTCAAAACACCCAATACCCTTCCCACCCCTCTCATAGTTTCAGATTGGATCATATTGATGTCAATCAAAAGATATTCATTTCATTGGATCATGACAAGACATATTGGTAAGACTCACTCGATATATACAGATAGAATTGTCTCATTTCCCCTTGAAGAGCCGCCTGACCAGTGAAACGCGCGTCGGGGCTGCTCTGCGTTTACCTCTGACTTAAAAAAATCTCTCAGTACTACTCAAAGTCATACATAATTGGACAAAGATCTCTCTACAAGACTTAGGACATTGTGACAAGTCAGAGCTACACATGCAGGGATTGTTCTTATTTTTCCCTATATGGTGTTAACCTTAGACTAGCAGATAGCTTATTGATACAGAATAGGTGCCCTTGAAGGTACAACTTAGAAATCTTGAACTTGATAGTTAACTGCACAATTTGAGGAATTATATGTAAATATATTTACTTTGAACTAATTTGGTTTGTTTTCTTGCCGGTATTACTAACAACTGGGTTGTGTTTTTTCTGCTCAAATCAGAACCGTCATATTAGTTATTTTAGCTGCTTAGGACAATTAAGGACAATTGCAATATTAGTATTCAGCTGCTTAGCACTTATGCTTAGTTATATGGGTTTAACTAGATATTATTTTTACCTTAGACTGACAGTTTTCATTTCACTGACAGTCTTATGAACACTATAATATACTAAACACATTCCTTAGTTAATCTACCCAGCAAGAGACTAACTTATTGATCACTAATTGATTCCAGTTGCTAACAACATATAGACTGTCCTTATTTCTTGCTTCCTATTTTTCCTCTATACAAAACTGATCATATTATATTTATTTCTATAATTTACTTTGTTTATTATTTTTTAAAACCAATTTATCATTATGTGATTTTTAATTAATATATTAAACGTTATGTTTTAGAGAATCTCACATTATAAGGCAAGTACCTCTCTACTCTTTACAGTTCTAAGCTGTGCTAGGAAAACCCGTTGGTGACTGAGTGGAGAGTGATGTTCCTGCCAGCTCCACTTAAAGAGTTTGCATGGTAGGAGTGGGAGGACCTAAAGGAGAAGCAGATGGAGTCCTGAGTGTACTTAGCAGTCTGTGTGTCTCTGTGTGTGTATTCAGCAGTCTCTGTGTGTGTATTCAGCAGTCTGTGTGTGTGTGTGTGTGTGTGTGTATTCAGCAGTCTGTGTGTGTATATATATTCAGCAGACTGTGTGTGTGTTTGTATGTATATATTCAGCAGTCTGTGTATGTGTGTTCAGCAGTCATTGTGTGCATTCAGTAGTCAGTGTTTGTATGTGTATATTCAGCAGTATGTGTGTGTGTGTGTGTATTCAGCAGTCTGTGTGTGTGTGTGTGTGTGTGTGTATTCAGCAGCCTACATGTGTGTGTATTCAGCAGTCTGCGTGTGTGTGAGTGTGAATTCAGCAATCTGTGTGTATGAGTTCAGCAGTCTGTGCATGTATTCTGCAGTCTCTGTGTGTGTGTGTATTCAGCAGTCTCTGTGTGTGTGTGTGTATCCAGCAGTCTGTGTGTGTGTGTGTGTGTATTCAGCAGTCTGTGTATGTATTCAGCAGTCTCTGTGTGTGTGAGTGTGTATTCAGCAATCTGTGTGTATCAGTTCAGCAGTCTGTGCGTGTATTCTGCAGTCTGTGCGTGTATTCTGCAGTCTGTGTGTGTTTATTCAGCAGTCTGTGTGTGTGTGTATCCAACTGTCTGTGTGTGTATTCAGCGGTATGTTTGTGTGTGTGTGTATTCAGCAATCTGTGTTGTCAGGATATTTATATCGGCAGACATTTTGTGCTATGATAGAAATTAAAAGTGTATATTGCCAGAGTCACTCAGAACAGAGCGGACTCCATTTTGGATCTTCAGTCTAACAAAGACACATAATTTCTTCTTGCTTTCAGTAACACTAGCCACTAGCCTGAGCTAAGGAATGCATTATATAAACAAGCCAAGTGATAAGCAATGAAGCAGGGGGATGGAATGCTCTATTTAATTGTTAATGGAATAGAAATAATTTTAAACACAGACACTAGTGACAGAGAAGACTAAGTAATTAATTTTACTTTCTAAATTTTACAAGGTCCCATTGTAAGTAAGGGGTGAAATTGAGTTTAGAACTGTCAATTTTAGAAATTACGATTAAAGTAGTTGCCACAAAGACTGAGGCAAACGCTTTGAACTGACAGCAAATTTAAGTTATGGTAGTCATTTTAGATAAGCCAAATTACGTCAAAATCGTCATCAGGAAAAGTTAACTCTTTCCTGGATAGGAAGGTTTAGTAAGGCGAGACTGCCCTTTATGGATCAGATACCTAAATTGCGATCTGCAGGTTGACCACACCTTCAGTATCCTTTTGGCTTTATCAACTAATGACATACAGAGAGTCTGGCCCTTTAAAAGTTAGGACAAAGGGAACAGAGAAGGTTAGTTTTTGGGCATTCAGATTCGGACATACAGAGATTCCGGACACTCTCTGGGACTAACATTCAACTCTCAAACTCTCTTGGACACAACTCAAAAAAACACTCCTTGACACTTAGAATTTTACTGATACTTTCTAACCAACATCACTTTTCTCTATTACTTACACACCTCCATACAACCAATCATACTTGCAAGTTTCTGGGACTACCTACTTATCTAATGAGAAAATCTACATAACTGGTAATTATGCTGGTTTTATTTAATTAATCTAAATTAATTAAAATCTAATAGCATGATATATGACTGGATAAATCACGGTCAGATTTCAATAATTAGAAATCTTAGTTAACTAAAGAATATATAGTTATAAACATTCCATTCTCCAGGTGGAATTAAGAATAATTATATATTAATGTGATAGTATCACGTGTTAGCATACCGCTGTTTTTATCCAGGTGTACTGATTTGCTCTAAAATAAGATAAGATATCTTTTTAGGCAAATTAAAATTCGGCTTTTGTAAAAATCTGGTAGATTATTCTTATTGGATGGTTCCAGGAAATGACTAATGAGCTGGTTCGAATGTTATTTTAATTGAAAATTACATGAGAATAGGATACTATAGGCCTAGGAGGATCTAGCCAGCATTGGAAGGGTTACTCAGTTGATTTAACTGTTAGCCAGGGTTTTCGCTGGGTTGTGTGAAATTTTTGCTTTCTGTGCCTGAGAAGTACCCATTAATCTTGTCTTGATAGTTGATGCTGTAGCTTTGTACTGTGTCTAGCTATTGTATTACATACTTATGTTATACTAAATATTCACTGATTATTATCATGCATGCTGCCTAATATTATTATTATTTTATTTGTCACAATAAATGATATCTATTTTTATAACAAATTGTGATTTTATTTGTATGGAATACATTTCACTTATATGAGAACGATCTCTAAGATCTAAGAGAATTGAAATAGTGGGCAATTCTCAACTGTATAATATTATCATCCCATAAATATCCCCACAGTGTGTATGAGTTCAGCAGTCTGTGCATGTATTCTGCAGTCTGTGTGTGTGTGTATTCAGCAGTCTGTGTGTTTGTGTGTATCCAACTGTCTGTGTGTGTATTCAGCAGTATGTGTGTGTGTATTCAGCAGTAAGTGTGTGTGTATTCAGCAGTCTGTGTGTGTGTATTCCGCAGGCAGTGTTTGTATGTGTGCATTCAGCAGTCAGTGTTTGTATGTATATATTCAGCAGTCTGTGTGTGTGTGTGTGTGTGTTCACTAGTCTCTGTGTGTGGGTATTCAGCAGTCATTGTGTGTATGTATGCATTCAGCAGTCAGTGTTTGTATGTGTGTATTCAGCAGTCTGTGTGTGTGTGTATTCAGCAGTCTGTGTGTGTATGTATATAATCAGTAGTCTGTGTGTGTATTCAGTAGTCTGTGTGTGTATTCAGTAGTCTCTGTGTGTGTATTTAGCAGTCATTGTATGTGTGTGTATTCAGCTGTCAGCTGTGTGTGTGTATTCAGCTGTGTGTGTGTGTATTCAGCTGTCCCACAGTATTAGGGAGCTATCTACTAAAAGGCTGAAAGACCTAAATGTCTAGTTAACAGTGAGCAGCCAGTGGCTGCTCACTGTAAAAAGCAATCCTCGCCCCCACCCCACTCCTGGGCGGTGGGTGGGGGCTCTAAGACAAATTCCCCCCATCAAAGGTGACTAGGGATCCCCACCCAAAAAAAAGTTACCCCCTACCTACCCCCCCCACCCTAAAAAATAGTGAGGGGGGAATAAAATAACTGACCTGTAAAGAAAAATTAAACTTACCATTTGACGTCTTCTTTTTTCAGCGTGGGAAAGTTATTTGTAATTTTCCCACGCTGTGTAATTTGACTCATTACACTCTGATTGGTGGGCTTGGAATCTAACCAATCAGAGTGCTCTTTGTCATTTTACACAGCGTGGGAAAATTCCAAAGAACTTTCCCATGCTGTGTAAAATGACACAAAGCACTCTGATTGGATGGATTTCAAGCCACCCAATCAGAGTGCTCTGTGTCATTTTACACAGCGTGGCAAAGTTCTTTGGAATTTTCCCACGCTCTGTAATTTGACTCATAACACTCTGATTGGTGGGCTTGGAATCTAACCAAT